CGCCTCACCCCCAGCGCCCCAAGATGGCGGCGAAAGAGACCCGCGCCGCGCTGCCTGCCGGGAAACGCGCCTCCAGGACCCGAGCGGGCAGCCCGAGCGCTGCCTGAGTGAGCAGCGCCGATTTGATGAAAGTGCTCCAGCGGGCCCGTGCCGCCCGGCCTGTCCCGAGTCTCGTCCCCGCGTTCCCCGGGGGCGAACCCCGCAAGAGCGATCCCGGGAGGGGCGGCCTCAGCCCCGGCCCCACTGAGCAGGCACCAGCCGGACAGCCCCGCGAGGCCCCCGAGCGTGGTGGTTGCCGTGGAGACGGACGGTGCATCCCGGTGAGGGCAGGGACCGGGGGAAATGAGGGCGGATCCCGGTGAGAGGTTGAGGGGAGGCTGGGCCGGTCTAGGCAGGGCTGAAGACGGGCCGCGGCAGTGGAACGAGCGGAGGAGCCCGAAGAGGGGCAGAGCAGAGGGAGAGAGCAGCCCCTGGTGTTCGGGGTGGGCTCCGGGCCCTGCTCGTCGTCCTCTGTTCTCACCCTGAGTCAGTGAATCATCTCGACATTTATTTTACCCCCGATATGGCCTTGCAGGCAAAAACAATATTTCGACACTGAAATCCCTGTAATCAAGTCTCACATTCCTTTATTTTCCTAAATATGATTAGGAAGCATGTACTTAACCCGTGTGCTCACGTCAGGGTTATTCACTCCCGATTTCTGTCACTTCCCTCACACTGCCAGAAACTCAGGTGTGTTTTCTGAGCACTTGAAGTGATTTAGGGGAAGGGAAACCTTGAGGTACCTTGATGGTCCTTTCTCTTCCCTTTTCCTTCTCTTCCCATCCCTTTCTTCCCCTTCCTCTCTCCATTCCTCCCCTTTCCTTGCCCTTCCTCTTCCCCTTTTTATTTTTCAAAATGAGCATCTTGCTGTCCTAATATTTCTAGCAGGAGGCAGAGCTGTGGAAGGTAAGGCCACACCTATTTTGCATTCCAAGAGACCTTTATTTGGTAAAAATTAAGTTACTTGTGATTTCTGGCTCAGTTGCTGCTCCTGTGGATATTCAGAATCTCTTTGCCAATCATTTGCCAAACTGAGTGAAAGGAGATGTAACATTCTCAGCTATGCATTTTCTCACTGGAATTCACTGGAGTCTCTTTGCTTGACTACAAGGAATGCTGAACAAAATGCTGCTCTTGAATCCATGTTCATTTCTCAGGCAGCAGGGTGGGAGAAATGTACATCCAGAACTCTCACACAGCAGAGGGAGTTGCAATCCCCAAAGGAACAGGAGGCCAGACCTTTTATACAGTTGTTTTAAAAATTATTACTTGATATGTTTTTCTTTCCCTTTAGATCAGCAGGGAAAGAATGTCATCCAAAACTCATGGGGAAAGCTGAATCTTTCACATACTCCATTTAAAAAAAAAAAAATAAATTATTGTTACTAAGAGTTTAATGAGGGAGTTCAGCAAACACAACAATGCAGGGCAATGCCAGTGGATGGTCTGAGGGTACTGTGTTGACGCTAAAATCCAGAGCAAGCAGCTCCTATCTGTAGTGTTTGCAAATGCCCCAGGCAGTGGTTTCCTTCCAACTTAACACAAGCACAGACTCTACTGCCTTGGCACATGGACCTGCTGAGCAAGGATATGGATGTAAGAGAAGATACACATGAGGAGAAAAGCAGCAAAGGGGCTTTAGAGAAATATTCCAGCTGCCAGCTTTCTTAAAACTTATTAATATCCTGAGTTAATTCTCTCCTGGTCAGAAGCTGCTGATGGAAAAGAGGAAAAGCTGTTGCATCCTCCTTTGTTTCCAAATAAGTCCCTTTTTCTTATGAGAGCTGCACATGTTATTTCTTCTTCCAAAAATGCTGCTGTAATCATCTGTCACAGCTATCTCCCAACACATCTTTTTTCACCATATTTTTAGCATTATGACTCCAAATAAATAGATTATTCATAGGTTGTTTAGACTCAAAATATGGATCATGGATTTCTGAAAAAGATAAAAATGAGTAAAACATCGAAGACTATTTTATTAGTGCCTGTTGACTGGAGACACTGCCTTTCTTGTTGTGAAAATACTGCATCTCCACTTCTATCATTGATTCCAAGGTTAAACAGAAATGTGATGGGTTTAGTGTATTATACAGATCATTTGCCATTTTTTTTTGTTAACACTATTATCAGATTCCTCTCAAGTTGTTACATATTTTTATAATTAAGATAAAAGAGAGGAAAAAAAATCTCAGAAGCAAAAGGTTGAAATCAGTTCCTTCTTCATCCTAAGTGACCATCAAAAGCTCTGCTAAGAGTAATTAGAGCTAAGTGGGTACGAAAAATACAAGTATAGTGAACATATTAATAATGTTCAGAATCACTACTTTGCTGCTATCTTTTCCTGCCATGATTTAAACAACCTTCTTGAAATAAATTTGCTGCCTCTAAAAGGCTGCTCTGTATTTTCATCTATTCAGGAGTTAGAAACCTTATCATAACTGCCTGGCTTAGGGGAGATTACTCTCCTTTGACCCAGAGCAGTATTATCCTTTAACTTAAATACCTCTGTCTTTCCCTGGTATCTGCCCTTCCTATGGATTTAATGAGAGCAGTTCCAGTCGCTGCCCCGTGCACACTTTCCAGTCTTATCCCCAGGGAGAGCTGTGCCCTCTTCCAACACATTCCAACACGTGTTGCATTAAACAACTTCCTGCAATAGACAGGGACATCAGGAAATAAATGTGTGAAATCTGTTACTTTTGTTTGTTTTACCTATTCTGTACTAACAGACATCAAATAAACCTGCTCTGAAAAGTGGCTCTTATTTTCCGCCAAGGGAAATTAACTTCATGGTCCAACTGTAAATTACATATTTTCTTCAATAGAAACAAAAAAAAAGGAAGAGAACAAGTGATAACAGCTGCAGCACAGCTGCATCCAAACCTCTTTAATTTCCCTAGAATATGGCCATGTCTTATGCTAACAGGGACTGCCTGGTGTGTTTCCTTGGCATGCTTACAGGTTGGGCTGTAATATTTTGCAGGCTTAGCATATGTTTATGCAAGGGTTTTATAGACGGCACAAATCCAGTTGTAGGTAGAGCAGCCAAATTAAAATTTTGTTAGTGGCTGTTGATACTTCCATTGCAATGACACTCAGAACCTCAGTCTGCAGTTGTGCTACGTATTGTACAATAAATACCTGATTTGTATGTACAGGTTTTGGAGGGACTGTCCAATGGCATATCAAAACATTAAAATTCTCAGAGAAGTCTTCCACTGTTGTGCAGGTATTTTCTTAGGTATTTTTGGATTAATAGTGAATTTTCACTTTTCCTTAGATATGCTTTCACAATATTCCATCTGTAGGCAAGGCAAAGGGGTGCTCAAGTGTATGTCAGAGAAGTTTCATGTTAGAAGTGCAAGTTAAAATAAAATAATACAGAAAGTTAAAGATTGTTTACTCAGTCCAGGTATTGGTTCTTGTTTAACTTTCAGCATCTTAAGATGGTAACAGTTCCTGCTGAGAGGGGACTGGGATCACAGAAGTGTGAAGGCTACACAGTAATATGGAGGAATGATTAGAGCATGAAGGTTCACCATCTGAGACTTTATAGGACATGGATTTCTTTTTTCCTTTTAAAAAGGCACCTTTCTTCTGTTGTTTCCCAAAGTCCACTATGAACCGCTGCTCCCCCTGAACTGAATAAGGAGGCACCTCACCCAGTTTGTGCCCTCCATACCCACTCCCTTCTCAGCCTGTCTACCCAGATCTGCTGTAGGAGGGACCAGGACCTCTTTGTTTTGTGAAAGCTAAACATTCCCACTGTCCCTGAATGCAGCCATTAGCGGAGCACAGCTCCTCTTATAAACAGTGTATGGAAAATTATAAACAAAGCCAGGGAAGTATATGTAAGGCTGCAAATAAGGCTATTTTGGGTCTACCTTTAGTTTAAACTACTGTTACTGACATTACTAACACCATAGCATTTTTTTGATTGGTATCTTTTATCTTTGTTCCTCCTAGTAAGAACAGACAGACTAAACAAATGGAAAAAATCACTCATCTGGAAGCTCTGATGTTTAGTGCTGTGCTGGAGAACTGTGTGGATCAACTTGCAATTATTGGATATATCATGCCAGTTCCACACGATGACAAGACAGACATCAACCATGTATGTGCCACTGCTTAAAAAGATGTATATCATATCTTTGTTTTTTATTTGTCTTATATCTTTTACCAGCATTTAAAAAAAAAATAACTCAAATCTATTTTCTGTGATTCTATGACTCTTGGGTGAAGAAACACAATAAAAGTGACCTAATTTTAATATTTATACTGCAGCATCACTGAGAAGCCTTGGTCAAGAATTTGTGCAAAGGACCTTTCTGATCCAAGATGAGGTTTCTGAGATTATAATTTTAAAATCTCAGTGGTTACACAACATGCAAAGAATTGGGGAGAAGGAAGCAACACACGTATAGGTTCTTTGGTAGATACAGAGCTATTTTAAAAGTAGAAATGTATAGGTATTTCAAAGTACTCAAAACCAGGGTAATTCAATTCCTCTTTAAGTCCATGCCAAAGTTCCTTTTGTTCCCACAATATATTAAGAAAGATGCACTTCAAAATATATTAGTAACCACCCTTTCTCAGTGATCATTAATTAGTGGTTGATTTCTAATATGCATCATAGCTAAGATGGTTGGGCAGAGATATGGAGAACAGGGAATTCCTAATGCTCAGGCAAGGGTTTGTTGCTGTGAAGGAAGGTGGTGTGACATTTCTGGTAGCTGCTAGACATAGGAATCAGGATGGGACCATCCTGAGGGGTAAATGGCTCTAAGTACTGTGGTCTGTAAAGTGACACAGCTGGTTCTTTCCAGTTTTAGCAGGTTTGAAACCTTTTTAAGATGAGCTCAAGAAAAAAGTTCATGACCAGGATGAAAATAAAAACTGGGATCTGAGTTTTGACATCTAATGGTGTTCACTCTGTCTAATGTACCACTTAAGAATGCCAGAAGTTAAATAATGTTTTTCTACATGCTTCCTTTCCGTATTACCTTTTCAAAAAACCCATGGCAAAGCCGCAGCAGCTGGGGTTACAGTGAATTTCAGGGCAGGAACGATGCTGAGACTGTGCCATAGAGGGCACTGCTCCCCTGAAAGACTTGTGAGAGCCGGCCTCAATTGCTCCCAGTGGATGCTTCTCCCTGTCATGTGCCAGCAGGAAACCAGAGAAAGAGCATATCTTGGGACAGCAGGAATTGTCCTCTTCAGACACACAGACTCAGGTTGATAAACCTGAAGGTACACATAAATTATAGAGAAAACAGCTTCGCTTTTCTCTTCAATCACAGATGCTCATTTTCACTAAGTCACTTCACAGAACACAACTTTCTCACAGGTTATAAACCCTGTGTTCTTAAAGATGTCAAAACAAATTGAGGAGGAAACATTTTAGAAACAAGAAACAAGAAAATGGCTTAGGGAAGCTACTTGCTAATTTCGGTGTTCTGTAATTTGCTACTCCTCCCTGTTTCTCAGTTTACATTTGGCTGTTTTCATTGTATTTATACAAGATCTGTATTTGCAAAGTACCCTGGAGTTCCATCAAGCAGACAAATCAATGGTATCTTCAAAGACTGACATCTAAATTTCAGTTGATGACATTTTTGAGAGGATTAATCACAGTGTTGGCCAGCACCTCACTGATTTTCCAGATTGGATGCTCTTGCACATTGCTTCACGCAGTGCATGCCCCAGAGGGAAGCAGCCTTTCTATTTGCTGAATTTTGGGCAACAGACAAGCACTTAGGAGACTACACAGATGGTAACACATGCAGTTTACCAACTTATTGCTTTTACATAGTTATTTGTTGATTATTAGTGTTTAAGTCCCTACTGTTCACAGACAACCCAGTTATTTCCTGTGCTGAACTTTCCCAGACATTAAAAAACATGTATCAGAACATTCATAAAATCTACATGATATTAAAAGTTTGCCAAAATTAGTTCTTTCTGAAGTACAGTTGTCACCTAGTAGCTATTTAAGCCCTTTTTTTTGCTAATTAGCAATGCAATTTTCATTGGTCTGTGTATGCTTTGCATGTGATTCATTTAACATAAATTTAACGGCCCAGAAGTTAAGCACGTAGTCACTTAGCCTCCTTCTCCAGTCACTGGTGAGTCAGGCACTGCCAGAGGCTGATCTATCCCAGTCCAGAGTTGTCCAAAACACTCAGCATGAGGCAGTCCCTTGCAGTGTCCTCACAGACTGCAGCAGCACATCAGACCTCTGACAGAGCCTTGCTTGACAAGTAACTTTTTGGAAGTACTCCTGGCATCCACAGCTGCTGCCCTGACCACTTGTTTTAACTCTGCCCTCTCTGCTCTGCTGGCACAAATGTGTGTGTGGTTGTGGAAGAATCTGGACTGAGAACTGGTGCTGCTAAAAATAACTTTTTTTTTTTTTTTTTTTCCTTTTAGCTGGAAAATGTTTAATCACAGTGAGTTCTCTGTACACTTCCCCAAGCAGCCAGGGTGAGGAGCAGGCAGCTGCAGACAGGGATGGGGCTGGCAGAGGCTGTGTTAGCTGCAGTCAGCAGTGCTGTTATAAAGTGTTCAGCCACAGAAATGCTGGTAGGCAGGCAAGAAAATGTTCTCTTTTAATGTTCCAGTATATACACCTGCATTTTATCCATAACACATAAAGCAGAGAATTTCCTAGAAGCAAGAGCTTAGCTGATTTTATAGTGTGCTTTTGCATTTTTGGAGGCTTTTCTTTTTTTAATGAAATTGCACTCAATCACAAGATACCTTTCTATGAAAGAGAGAGCTGCCAATATTTTGAATTTTTCCTTTGAATTCATGTTATATTTCCTCTGCTATTACTCTCTCAAAAAACCTGCTAAGCAGATAGCAGACAGAAAGTCTATCACCTTTATTTCCACACAGCTTTAGTTGTACCAATAATTGGTACAATATTGTAGGGAAAGGTTGTGGTGACAGGCAGTGGGAAATATTTAAGAAGAGAAGGAGGAGAAACAGGCTAACAGTCTTCCAGTTTGTAAAAACTGCTGCAAAAAAAGGAGGGAACAACTTCTTCTCTGTGCCTACAGAGACCAGGACAACAAGCCAGGGACTCAAATGCTGTTGAGGAGAAAAAAACTTTCTTATGGTAAAGAAAGTTGTGAGGTGCTGGCACTGACAGGAGGGTGTGTAGTTGCCACTGCTGGAGGCCATTAAGAATATGTCAGATTAAGAACAGTGTGAAGCATCATCTCTTGGAGTGGATGAATTCACCTTTTTTGGCCTTTTCTAGTCCTGTCACTTTAGGACTTTTGAGCCCATAAGCTTGAATGAGCTACACTGTGTGCTCAAAACTAACCAACATAAATGTTTCTGATCTTCCACTCTTTGCAGAATGTAACATGCACTATCAGCTGCTCTCAATATAACCTCATTCCAGTTTATTACTGATTTTCCTTCCTCTCACATAATGTGAGAGGAATTGCAGAGGGCTTAGTTCTGCTGTGCAATGCAAGCAGGTCTCTCTTATTCCCTTTCCCCTCTTTCCTTATTCTCTTATTTCCTTTATACCCTTTCATTCCCATCCAGGAAATGAAAGAAATGGTCCAGAAGGAACTGGATAATAAACCCTCAGAATTTATGTCAGCAAAGCAAGAGAGTGGGGAAACAGCTACCTCCACGACCCTGCAAAACACCGAACACAAGCAGCAGCAGGAGGAAACTGAAGATCAAAAAAGCACTCGCCATTTTTCCAAAAGGCCCAAGAAACGCACCACTCGGGCTGCACAGAGGCTCAAAAAAGTTTATGCTGACAGGTGAGTAAAGCACCCATGAGAGATGCTCAGAGCTGTAAAGTTCTCAGTTTACCTCTTGAAAGCAAAAATACAAATTCCTTACTCTCCCACTTCCAGACCACATCAATCTCTGTCTGGAAGTAGTTCCTCTAAGGACAGCAGTGGTATCTTCCATAGATAATTTTGTTCCAGCCTTTGCTTGTCTCTGGATGCTACCTAATGACCAGCAGTTTATTTTGAATGGAGCTGTAAAACATTACCCCATTGATAATGGTTGCCTGGGTAGAAATCATATCAGGCACTAATCAGTGCTCACGTTCTGAGACCTGGAGTCAGGTTCCTTTAGCAGATCCCACATGCAAAGGGAGATTGGAACTTTGTTTTTGAACTCAGTCATTCTGCAGGGCACACAGAGTTTCTGTGGCAGTTATAGCCATTATAGAAAAGGTAATCTATATAAAGACTAAAAATTTTCTTTCTTTTTTGAAACAGATTTTATTCCTGCACCTAAACCAATGCCCTGATTTGCAGAAATACCAGCAGCCTTTGGTTTGACAGAGATTCTAGAGCTGAATGCTCAGTATGCATTTTTCTGCATCCTGGCTTCTGTCATTTAATATAATTTCAACAATGGGTTTAAAGAAGATTCTAACACAAATGAGGGAAATGCAGCTAAAATGTAAATGCCACATGCATCATGACATTCAATAAACTGGACAAGCCCATGTGTTGCATCACCAGGTATCATTTTCTAAGGTCCACCTGTCATCACTACTGTAGGCCAGCAGCTTTCTTAATGGCAACACATTATCCAAGCACGGATATGTTTGTGCCTTTTTGCACAAATTCCCAAGTAGTATGCAGGACAGATTTTTAAATTATAAACTTCAACCAACTCCTAATATTGAGTTCTCCAGACATACAATAAGCAGATACCATGGGAGAATCACTTCTGGTTTTGATAAAACCAGAAAAGGGATCTTTTATTTCCTTACATTTTACTGTAAACAGCAATGGATAAAACTGTCAGACACTGTACTACCAGCATCTGTAAAATACTGTTGTGTTCCTTTTTTTTCCTGGCAGGCAGTATGCAAGTAATGTAATTACACTCACTATTAAAAAGATGGAGGAACTGGGAACATTTAGTAGCCTAACAGATGCTAATGAGAGAGAGAAGGCAAAAAAGAACAAGTTTTTTGACATCCTTATCAGGTCAGTGTTGTGTTCAGTTCTTCCCTGTTTAAATGCTGCAAGCCATCCCCACTCAGTACATGCTGAAAAGAAAATAACACCCAATAAAACCAAAATACAGAAAGGATACTTTTTTAAACTTTAATTATTCTGTTTGCTTTGCAAACTGCAATTTTTCCACTTCAGAAAGAAACAGTGGATGGGTCTGATACTGATCTAGGAATTGCCTGAGCTTTGACCATGGTGGACACCAGTGGCTGAATGAGTACAAATGCCTCATTTCAATTAAAACATAATGTGATGTAGGAGCTCCTTGATCTTTTACTCCTGTCCCCAGTGAAAGCCAGAGCAGCAGAGAATCTGTTCAAAACAGGGCCAGTAACATATGGCCTTTAGGTTGTCTGATGCCCAGGAGATTCTGCTCTGACCCACATGCTAATAGGCTCCCTGTTCCCAGCAGCAGTGAGGAGTTAGCACAGCTGGTGACAGAGGTGTCTTATTTAAGGCTAATCCACCAGCCACTGTACTGTGATTCTCTTCTGTCCCAAATCTTTCAGGGTACACATTTGTTATCATCTCAAACTGGTGAATTTTTATCTCAAACTTTTGAGCTCTAGAGGTTTGGTGGTTTTTTTAGCATGCAAAGCTCTGGTTCAGTCCCAAGACTGTCAGAGAGAATCTCAGTCATCAGACAAATATTTGATCACTTTACCTCCGTGTAGCAGCTTGGGCCCATCATTGAGGGTGCACAGCAAAGCCACTCTCAGTCATGATTTGTCAGGAGACCAACCTACTGGAACAGCCCCTGGCTGCTCAGGGATCTGCCTCCAGGGCAAATCCCCAGCTTCAGTGGAATGTGTGACTTCAAGCATGAAACCAAACTCTTCCACTGCCTAAAACCAAGGGATTTATTGTTTATCAATGGAAAGGACAGAAAGCAAGAATGAGATTAGCAATTGGCTGTGGAGTAACTATCCAATACTGAAAGGTAGAAAAGAGCAGACAAACTATAATCAGAAAGGACATCATCCTTTTTATCCCCTTCTGTCAATCATATCTAGCCATGCTGTACTATACATTCTTTTCATGGAATGAACTTGATCTTCTTACAAGATAATAAATACTTCCCTGGTCTTGTGTAAATACACTGTTCTGAAAGACATATGCAGTGAGATGACAGGGACTCCTTATCAGAAGCTTTTGTTCATCATTCACCCAGATAAAGACTCTGAAAATGAAATGCATGTGTGATTGTAAGGTTGGGACAGGATACAAAGTTTCAGGGGCCAACTGTAGTATTTACTGGGTTTAAAACTAATCATAAGCATGAAAGCTTAGAGAAGCACTCTGAATGAAGTAAGATAACAATACCTAGAATATTTACTACATCTGTTTTGTTTTAGACAGATGAATGCTTCTCTAGCTTTTGGTCTTCACTCAGATCACTTCATGGATCTCAGAACCTGGGACAGTGTTCTTTGGAAGATTTTAGGTCTGATATGAAAGAAACAACATTCTCATACACATAACACAATTTGGCACTCTGCTGCTCAGGCTTGCTTCTGCATAGATTCATTTTTGCCTAAGTCTAGAAACTGTGACTACAATGACAGGCATCTTCCCTCTCCGCTATAGTAATCACATCGTCCTCAAATTCATTCCAGGCTTTCAACAAGAGCATCCCCTGGTTTTTTGTCTTGTTCTCCCTTTTGTTCCCATCTGCCTTGCTCAGTCTGTGCACCTCTTCTTTCAGGATTTACTGACCAAGTCAATAGTTTCGGTGAGAACTCTGTTTAACTTACCACACTGTATCAGGAGACAGGAAGTTCTCCTTCTAGGTAAACAGCTCTTGTCTTTTTTGATACATTCAAGTAATTGTATTTTCCCACTTTAGGGAGGAAAAAGGAAAGAAGGAGATAAAGGCACTCCAGAAACAGCTGCAAGATGTCAAGAAACAAACTGATAATGACCTTCAGGTGAGAGCACTTAGCACTGGGCATCTTGCCAGGGGGAAGCCTGTTAGGAAGTTGGCCTCTGCTGCCCAGGAACTAGCACTCATAGAGGCCATGGTCATACACAATGAGCCACCACTTAGGAGTACAGAAGTAGAATAATTACAATAAAGATTTGTATTTGGAATAAGCCTACTAATGAGTTCAAGAGCAGTGTCTGATAGTTTTCAAATGGGAGCTCAAAATGCTCATAATCATGAGAGACTGTGGTCAAATTAGAATATCCAAAAAACTCTGCTGGGAGTGACAAAGCACAGATACAGCAATCAGTAAGAAAGAGGTTATCTGCAGATAACAGTATCTAAGATTCTGTCATACTCAGTCATGGCAGATCATTTGGCACAGAAGGAAGTGTGCCAAAGGGAGCGAGAAGGACAGAAGCCTATCATAGGGGCAGGCCGTTTTTCTACTTACCTTTTCATCTGGGGAAAGTGTTATTCTATTAATCTATTTTTTTCTAGGCTTCCAGACATCAGAAAATCCCAAACATGCCTACACAAGGGCAGATCAATGTTATTGCACATATGCTGTCAACTTAATCTTTCTGAAAAGCTTCAGCCCTTCTGTCTGCATCATGCAAAGGGTGTGTGCATGCAGAGTAAATATGGGGCATTCTGGAAATGTCAGACTTGCTACACAAGTGCAGATCAATTGAATGGCTTATCACTGGTCACTTTGATGCTCACCAGACAGCTCAGACTTGATGCTCATTCAACATGGAAATGTAGTCTGGCCCTGCTGAGGCAGGAGATGTGTGATAGCAAACAAGCAGAAGGCAAGCTGGGGCAAAGCTGTACAGGGGCTGGGGGAAGGAACAAGAATCTGACACTTGGTTCAGTAGTGAGCAAAAGGAGAGCAAGGGCATCTGAGGAAAGAATTGGTGTCACTGAGTTTTGTCTTTGGACAAAAGTGTGGACAGTAATTAAATCAGGATATAGCTGTGAGAAATTTTAAGCCCCAGACATGCTGGTGAAGTTTGGTTTGTAGAACACAAAGGTTTTGTGTTGGCAGCCTGGATGCACGTGCAGTGGAAAGTTTAATTGTAAATACAGGACAGTTGTAAAAACACAAGGGACCTATTTGCTTCTCATATTGTCCCTTCTCAGTCGGAGTCTGATGGCTCCTGGGAAGTTCCTGCTCTCCCAGGCTGGTGAATGATGAGGTACTTCTCCATCTGTGTAGTGCTCTTCAAACCTCACCATGTCTGTACACATAATATATGGACCCAGTCCTGGTTTAATTCCTTCCCAGGGGCTGTAATCATCCTGTCTTCTACCAGCAGCAATGTCCTGACACTCCACAGTCAGGAGGCCACTTCTCTGTGTCCTGCCCTGCATCTCTCCTACCTCCTGCAGTCATAAAAGTGTGTCATAAAATATCTCCCATGCTGAGAGGGGTCTCTTCTTTTTGTCCTTTCAGTGCTAATTCAGTTTTTGGGTTTGGCCTCATCAAGTGGGATTTGCAGTCATCTGTGATTTTTTTAATATTTCAAGCTTAAAAGTCCTTTTCTGAGCTTCCTTATAGTTTCAGCTTTGATAACAAATCAAAGACAAGACTACTTTAAAGTACTGCTTTCCTCCTGTGCCAAAAATAATGGTGTCTCACTGTGTCTCCCAAGGGAGAATAATTTCTATTTGCTATGTATGGGATTTTCCCATAGGCAGTTTTACAGACACTTGCATGATTTGTCATCTTGCCAACTAATTAAAAATAAAAATACAGCTTCGCTGACTTTGGAGTACTTTGAACAACAATAATAATGCACAGACCTGTAGACAAAAGCCTCCATGGCTGAGAAAACAAAAACGAGCAAATCTAATCCTAGAACCAGAAAAACACGGCTTTTGTCTCATTCATGTTGCTGTGAATTTGTATTTTCAGCCTTTCTATCTCTTAATAAAATGCTAATTAACAGTGTATTAGCCTGCTCAGCTCATTTTTCTTTCTAATGGAACACAAATCAAATGCTAAATGTTCCTCTATTTTGTTTTCTCTTGGAAAGCACTGATGTCTCTAAAGGAGCTGAAATGGTGCATCTGGTTTTGTTCTTACCTCTCTATGCAGGAGCAGCACTGGTAGCTCAGGTTTGGCTGCAGGGGGTCTGTTTGCTGCTGCAGTGTTCATTTTCTAGTTTCTATAGAAGTACTTTCTCTGGTTTCCTGGACAAGTAACAGCAGTCTGTGTGGGTTTTGAAGCGGATTAATATCATATAGGATTATATGGCTTAACATAAAAAATTAGGAATGTAAAATGTAACATTCATGCATTGCTCTTCATCTGAAGACTTTTTATGTCCTGTAGGTTTTGTGGTGTACTCATGTCATACATGTGTGCAGGTAGTGGTGTAATTTTATAATAAGCAGTAATATTACAGCTAGCAGACAGAAATCCAAGCCATTGCACCACAGTACCAGTGAAAACAGGTCTGTAACTTTAATTGTCAGTTGTCATAACACACCCAGATCCACTGTATCAGTGCATCACTCAGTCATGCTTTTAGAAGTAAGATTAAAACCCACCATGTTTCTTCTCTTTTCCTCTCCCAGGAGGACAAATGCATCAATGGAGTGTTCTGTGGAATGTTTTAAACACATATACACATCCACTGGTGCATGTTTCTACTGGAGATATGCACAGGATGATTACAGTAGAAGGCACAAGGTTTGTGATGGTCCTTCACTGCTGGCAGAGCCCCAAGGAGCACTGTAGGACCTGGAGCTGGTGCACTAGATCCAAACTTGTCTCCAGAGGGGCAGGATTTTCCACAGGAGCACTGTTGCCAACAGGTCTGCCCCCTCTGCCAGCAAACTGCCCCTCCTGGGGCTCTCCTGCAGCTGCTGGCATCAGCACTGTGCTGGCCAAGGGCTGCAGGAGCCATTCTGTCAATGCCAGGTGACAGCCAGCCCCGCTGTCCCTTGGGCACAGACATTCCTTGAGGGTGTTCTGGAGCTGGGACAGTGGTGCAGGCAAAGCCTTATTGAAATGCCTGCAGGGCTGCCTGTTGTGGTTTCAGGGGAGCGAGCCCAGGCTGCAGCAGGTGTGTGGATCCAAGCACATCTCCAGGCCCTGCAAGCTGAGATGCCACAGCTGCCAGGAAGAGCCTTGAGCTCGGAGCACTCGCTGTGGGAGCAAGGCAGAGCAGGGCCCTCTGTCAGCACAGAGCACAGCACTCCTTCCCCTGCCAAATGTGCAGCATGGGACTGCTGGAGAATTCCTCAGACTGTTTACTCCTCTGGGCTATTTTTGTAACCAGCTGTATTTTATGACTGTAAACACTAATTGCTGTGGAAGAGCTGGGAGATCTTGGTGGCACTTACAAGAGAGATAAATCAAAGTAAATGAAAACACAGGAGTGTGGATAAGGTCTCCAGCTAAGTGCAGCTGCTTTTGCAGCCAAACAGCATCTGCAGGGAAGAATCCTGTGGTACCAGGTGACAACAGGCAGGCCCCTTAGCTGATGTCTGTAAGCTGAGAGATCAGAGAAAATCAGCTTGTTTACCTGCTTGTGAAGCAGACTGGCTCCTGACAACTATTTCCTGGGTTTTGATCTTGGTCTCTGCCAGTTTTTTGATCGTTTTGGACACGAGGGATGATTTGGTTTGGCAGATTTGATGCTGAAGTCATCCCAAACAAGCAGCCCTGAGATTTACTGCATCAGCTATGAAAGCATTCCACGTTCTGGCATGGACCTTTGCTATGATAAACCAGAACAAATAAATACCAACTCATTTTCCCAGTTACTGTCCCTTAAGTTCAGGGAACAGCACACTCTGCAGATGGTACCCACAGCTTGTGGGCACTTACTGCTGCATTTACTACCTTCAGCTAAATCCCAAACGTGCCCCAGCTCTGCAGCATCAGGTCCTGCAGCAGGAGCTGCCCTTGTGTCCTGCTGGCTTTCCCTGGCCAGGCAGAGGCTGCTGTAAACCAGCAGTGGGTTTTGTATTTCACTTCCTGTCTGCTTTGGATTGTGTAACCAAGCCCCCAGACTCCCCACCTCTAACCAGGATGTTTTACAACACCACAGACCAAATCCAAACCACATACATGCCATTCAACAGAGAAAACAGAGCAGATGGGCCCCCATCCCAGCTGAGGCCTCGGGCACTCAAATCAAAAGCACTTTTTTTTTACTAAAATGTGAAATGGAAAAGAAAATAACCTGGTGAGAAGTTCATGCTCTGCTCCAACTCTCTGAGTACCTTGTAACCTAGACTGAACCTTTATTTTCTGGCCAGTTTGCAGATCTTGAGCAGATAGCAGTAACACACTGACATCAGCAGTGTTTGACTTTCCTGAGCCACAGCACCACAAAAAGTTGTGGGTTTGCTTTGTTTTAATTAGCATCTCCTCAGTCTCTCTGCTGGTTCTTCAATTTAGACATGATTATGTGACACTATGACACAGGAAGACAATCTCAAAATAGAGTGGTATACTCACATCCCCTGTCTACTGACCAGGAACACAGCTCCTCCCAATGGCCACCAAAATTCCATGCCAGGGAAAATAAAGGCCGTGACCAGAAACCCTAATAAGGCACAAACAGCTCATGTCTGTAGCTGTCTGCAGTCATATGATGATATGGCCATAAAAAAAATAGTATCTGGTTTTGAAACCTTCAAAAACATGTGAACACCTTTGAACCCACAAAACAGCATCAGCCAAGGCCCCAATTATCCTGAGCCTCATAAATTTACTCTTCCTATGTATGACAAGGGGTGCAGAAGGAAGGATTTTCCTTTTAACTGTTCCCAACTCTTCTTATAAGGACCTTTTCCAAATGAGTCATGCTGCAAAGGCTTTCAAACACAGCACTGTTGAGCTGGCTTCCTCCTGTGACATTTTTCCATGTTTACACAGCTAAGGAATGTGAGGTGCTTCAGAGACAAGATATGTAGGCTTCAAAAAATGCCAGCACTTTGGTATTTCATCTTCAGAGGTTTGGCTGATGAATATCAAACCCACCACAGCATGTCAGGGAAGCAAAGAGAAAGGCTGTAATGGAGCAGTTGGGTACATTCACATTGATCTTGCATAATTACACAGGAAGCTTTGATGACCTTTTAACTTGGTAAAAAACTCTTCATTTTAGAGGCATTTGTCCCAAGTTCCAACCCCAGGGTAATGCATCTTTATCTGTTATTCAAATAAATTAATTAAAAATAAGTAAACAAAACAGCAATCCCAAATCAAGCAAATGCACTTTGCTTCCTGAGCATGCTCCAGAAGCTGGACAAACCACTCAGGATTCTGGCCTATGGGAGTACTCTAGGGAACAGAAAACTGAGTTTTCTGCCCCAGGAAAGCTCAGCTCCATTGCAAAGCAAGGCATGGGGAGAGGCTGGGACCTCATAGCCAGCTTTTCCTTGACACTGCTTCCTTGCCCTGGGTGTATGTTTTCATAATGAAGTGAGCACCATCTACCTGGTAAGATTTCAAGAAAGAACTGTTTGAAAATATCAGCAAGTCAGGATTAGATTTGCACCTGTTCCTAAGGCTGTGTTTATACAGTTGCTGCATAACTAGAAAAACAATAAATCCAAGGAATAGAGTATGCTTTATTATAACAAACTTTGGCTTTTGTGGGGCTGATACATTATCCTCCTTTACAGATGCTCCCTCACTGAGATAGTTTAATGCAAGATGTTAGTAAAAGTAAAACCTAACTTTAAGTGGTTAAAATTCTTTGGCTTTTTTAATATTTATCCTAAGTGTGACTGAATGAATTTCTTGACCAGAGAGCAGGCCTGCCTTGTCCCCCTCTGTTCCTCACTCTGCCCTCTCCAGAGGCAATCACTCCTTGCTGATGGGTTTATTGCTGTCTCTATGGGTTACAGATCAAACTAACCTTTGAAATGCTTCCTTGAAATGGAGCAACATTCAAGGAAAGTGAAGCCTATAGCTTTGTCTCTTCTGACCTTATCAGGGAGTGGAGAGATTAAGAAATGGTGAGCTGACCTCAGTCTCCAGGCTTGCTTTTGTGCTGCTTTTGTCTCCACTAGAACCGAGATAAGGTTATTGATCACCTCAAGGATAAGCTTCAAGAGACGACAGCCAAACTGAACACAGAGAGTAACTACATGAAGAAAAACACGGATCTCCAGATCCAACTGACCCAGAAAAAGTGCAGCAGTGCAGAGGATGCCCTGGAGAAGGAAATCCAGGTAAGCCTTTCCCCGTGGCCCATACTGGAAGGCATCTCCATCTAGAAGGGGAAGAGCCCTCCCTCACTCCTCGGATGCCCTCTCTGTTCTGCATTAGAGTCACCAGCACAGCTGTTTGAACTGGATCAGGAAACTCATTTGGGTTAGAAACCTTTATTTCTTCTATTGTTTGTCTGTACGATGCTGCAAACAGCAACAACAAGGATGGCATGGCTTTAGGAGACAGGGAATGCTTAAAGTAATGCCATGATCAGAAAACCAGACCCAGAAGTATATCCAAAGGGGTGGTTACAAAGGTATTAGCAATCTGAGCTCCCAGCAGATTATACAGATAGAGCTGCTTATGTGGCTCTAAGGTGAACTGGACTAGAAGACTGTTCTGGTTTTGCAAGCATCTTTCTTTGACTGATCAAGGTCTGATCTAACTGTTTCTTTTTCATGGATAGTCCAGGAGCAGGGACTGCCTCAGCTGATTTTATCACTGGAAAAAATGTCTGTGGACTACACAGAACTCCAGCATTTTTACTCAGCTTTCAGCAGCAGTGTGTGCACACACATACACTCCAACATTGTCTCACACATGTTCTGTCTGCTCTGATCACAGAATTTGAGGAGCAAAATTGATGAGGAGATTCACCTCCACATGGAGACTGATAATTTCCTCACACAACAGTATGAGGTATGTGTGATTGTCAGCTATTGCTTAAAACAGCAACCTATAAACACCATATCATTGATTAGTGCCTAAAGGTAACCAGTCAAATCCATCCAATATACCAGGTTAATGACTGCTGCAGTATGAATGATTATTTGTCCTCAAATCTTAATTAACTCAGCTCTCCCAGGCTTGGGAGTTGCTACATATATATATATTTCCTTAAAATTAGGGTTCATGTAATTAATAACATTGTTTATTCAGGTGGTATGGATTTTTCCTCTCTCAGATAGTTGCATTTGGCTAATTGGACTTTATTTAGGTCCTCCTTGGCAGTTACTGGGGCTCCCAGCAGCACAGTGAAGAGCTCAAAGTAAGGGCAGCAGCTTCAGAGACCCAAGGGCTGAGCAGAGGGGAGGGACACTGAGGAGGGAATGACACAAACTGCCAGTCCAGTTGGCCAAAAGGATGATCAGCTTTATCTGAGGAAGAACTGGGGTTGGATCATTGCTAACCCACAACTACTGTACACATTTTCAGCAGCATGACTACCCTTGTGGTGTTGATTCAGAGGTTCAGAGCATTCCTATCATTAACAGTGAATAACTTTACACTGCATAACACTGCAAAGCCTCTCATAAATGGTATGATGGGAAGAAAACCTGGACTACTGCAGAGTACTTGATGCCACTGCCAGTATAGAATTTAATAGGAAATAATAGCTTTTTAAAAATGTAGTAATTTGAGTGCAAACCAGTGCTGTATCATGGGAGCAACTAAACAGTGTGCTCTGCACCCCAGAGCTTTGGTCTGATCAATGCTTCCAGCAAGGGGACTGCCTAAGTACATACTGAGCCTGGCTGGCCTCCAGCAGCCAGCCCAGCCCAGCCCCTCAGTGCTCAGACAGCAGCTGGTGGCTTTGCAGGGGCCCCCAGACAGGAGGATGACCATGCCCTCCATCCCCCTTTTGTGTCCAGCTGTGATGCCATAATGAGATTGATGCTTTTCCTCAGATTATTTTTCCATGGAAGCAATCACAGTGGTTGCTATGGAAAAGTTATTGGTGAATAGGAGGATGTCATCTGGGTGACTGTTTCAGAAACACCTGCCCTATTCATGAACACAAAGCCAAGTTTACAACCTGAAATAGCGTGAAGTGCTGTCCCCTGGGACTTATTCCTGGTGTGCTGAGCTTAATCCAGAAAGTGGGTAGGGATTCAGGCAGAGGATAAAAGCTCTCCCACTGACAAACTGTGCTTTTTAATGCCCCCTCCTTCTGTATACACACAAAGAATGGCTTCTGGCTGTCACTTGCTTCATCAGGACTGACTGCACAGAACTAGCCCTGCCATAATTTATGAGTAGTCTTAGGGGTTTGATCCTTTCAAAATGAGAAGGAAACACTGACCATGCACAGTTTACAGGACTCTCACCACCATAATGAAAGCAGGCTATATAATAGTAGCAAACCTCTGTGCACTCTTTGCACCATGCTGAGCACCACTCTCTCCCCATGCAGAAGGTGAAAGAGAAACTGGAATACTGGATGGAGAAGTATAAAAAAGACACTGCTGCAAAAGATGAAGAACTGGATGATCTAAGGGCATTGAAGGCAGAGAACTTGGAAACGATGCAGAGATTTGCCAAGGAGGTAAGACATCAGCAGCATCGCAGTATTCAGCCATGCAAAATTGCATTGGGCTTTTTCCTACAGTCATTTGGATAAGGAACCAGGACCACGTAAAAAAAATCAGTAATTTTGAGGCAGAGGCTGTGATTATAGCACTTGTCTCGGGAAGACAATGGCTGAGATATCATCTTCTATTTGCCACCTGTGACATCAAGGAGGGATGATGATGTTTCCCCTCTACCAATTTTCGAATACCAGCAAGTAATGAGAGAGCTACTGACAGCCTTTGTGAGGGGCAGAGGTACTGTCTCATCCCATCAGTATGCCTCACCTTACTTTGCTGCCCGAGTCTGAACAAATCTGCTCCTTCTAGGAAGATCAGGGTAAGACAGGCTGAGACTGGAAAAGGCAGTTCATCCCTTCTTGCAGACACACATTCCCAGCTGCACAGAGCTCTGTTATCATCTGGATAGAACCATTCCTGCCCTACTGGGTTCTTGGTTAACTGCTGGGCTCTGATCACAGCAGAACAGCAGCACAGAACAGAGAGAAGCATCTAGAAAAATGTGTTTTAAAACCAGAAGGAATTTACTTGTAAACATTCCTTACCATCCGTGGGTTGGAGATGATGGGACTGAGCTGGATGTTTCCCTGCTTGTGGGCTCATTTTTCACTCTACACTGTCATGTCAGTGTCCCCAGTGTGTTTGTACATCATCTGCTGCTTAGCCTGGGGGACCAAGTGTCCTCCCCACCACCAGCTGTTGCCTGGGAAGCCATCAGCCAGCCCTTTTACAGCAAGGGATCAGGGGTTAATTACACCCAGGCCATGGTGAGAGGTTTCACTTTGGCAGCAGCTCCAAGTGCCTGAGGACTGACGGTGGTAATGAGCAACATTTGCCATCTGGACTTAGGAAACACCAAATAATGGAGGTGGGGGAGGAAAGCTCCCACTCACACATTATCCCTGGGCTGCCCTGGAGCTTCCTGGTGTAGAGGGACACCACAACCCACGGGCCTGAGCAGTCCTGGCAGGGCTATGGGAAGTGTTTAGCAAGGATGAGACCTGTCGGCAGCAGAGGGGAAGAATCCTTACACCAGGGTCCAGGTGAGTCCTGCCATGGCAAATGGCTGGACACAGTGAGCCCTGAAGGCTGGCCTTGCAGTTTAGGGAATATCTTTGTCATGGCTTTTGCCACCCCTGTGCTTTCTTGCAGTGCCTGATGTTCCAGGCAACCATCATCATTGACCGGACAGAAAAGGAGGACAAGAGAAAACAAAGAGAGCGGGAAGCCCTGGAGCTGAAGAGTGCTGTGAAGGTAAAGGGGAGCAAAGCTGAGGCAGTGCTGCTCCAGCAGCAGCTGGGAGCTAATAATCTGTTCCACAGGCTTTGTACAGGCAGAAAACAGCCCAAGGAATCTGGCTGGTGTGTGGTGGCACAAGCAAAGGACAAAGCTTGTTCCTTTGCTGGGGCACACTCAGAGCTGGCAGCTGGCTGCAGCTTTGAGATGGTAAATGAAAGGGGAGCAGCCAGTCTCCTGCAAGTATCGCTGCACAGGTGATACAGGGAGGGTCATGGGCTAGTGGCCCTGCTTGTCCCTTGCCACCAGCAACAAGTGCCCTCAGCCCAGCTGTGGATGCCTTCGGCACAACCAGCACAGGCCCAAAGGCTGCTGCATGGGCTGGGGGTTCCCTTATGTGGCTGGGGAGTACAGAAAAGACTCTCCAGGGATTGAATTGTATGAAGTACCAGAGCAAGTGATTTCCCCTCAAGCCTCTCTCTCTCACTTTCAGGTGCAGGCGTGGTGGAAAGGTACAATGGTCCGCAGATTCCTTGGCCGCTACAAGGAGCTTGAGAAATATTTGAAGGGACAGTTACCAGAGAAACAAACAGGCAAGGAAAAATCTAGAAAAAAGAAATAATAAAGTGGCCACAGATATGCTCCAGGACTGTTGCTGGGCAGGGCATTGTGGTACGTCTGACAGGACAAAATAAACCATGTAACAGAGCTTGGGCAATTCTGGAGGACACAGTTCCTGCAGACACAGTTATGGTGAAGCTGCACTAAGATCTTAAAGCTGCCCTTGTACAGCCTTTTTCCCAGCAGAAAGGGGATTTGCATCAAAGCAGTGAGAAACACTATATCCCCTGAGAAGTGCTTTATGGAACCAAGACAGTGGGAGGTAATCCTGTTACCAGCCCAGTAACTCACCAGCATGGGATGCTCTGCACCCAGAACCGCCTCTGCTGCCCCCAAAGCACCGGCCCTGGCACCCCCAGCTGGGCTCCCTCTGTGCTCTCCATGCCTCCAGCGCTGGCATCAGGTCAGCAGGGGAGAACACGAGCAGTTTGCAGTGTAAACACAAGTGCAGTCAGAGCACACAGGTTTCCATTCCCGCAGTCCTGCACAGTGTCAGTGCACAGACAGAACAGCTCCACATACCTTCTGACCAAGGGAACAAAGGGAAAAGGCAGCCAGCCATGCTACCTACAGGAGCTGGTCTGTCACAGCCATCCCCACCGCCCCGGTCAGCACCACTGCACAGCGGGATGGGGCTGAAGGCAGGGAGCAGAGCTGCTTTTCAACCAAAAGGGAATCCCTGCTCCTCACACCACTGTCAGTCCACATGCAGGTCTGTGCACAAAGCCCTGTGGCTGAGCTGCCTGGTTTCCGACTCCCACGTGGGAGATGATCTCAAACCACAGAGTCTGCTCTGCTCTGTGATCAGCCCGTGCTGGCCCCATCCAAACCTCCTTGTGTCCAACCTAAGTGGGCCGAGAGCTCTGAAGTTCACATGAGATGGCTGAAACAATGAGCAGAGAGCCTGTGGCTCAGAACTCTGAACAGAAGGTGCTGGTGCCTTATCAGGCAGACTTGGCTGTCAGGGGAGTGCTGAAGTTTCAGATGTTCCAGACAAACTGCATTAAAAGTGCCAGTGTTCCCATTGGAGCATGGACACTTGTTTGAAACCTGAACAAATTCCCATTCCAGCACTGGTACTGAACAAATTCCCTTGCTTCCAAGGCTTCTCAGGCAGTGCTAAGACCAGGGATTGCTCCATCTCAGTGCTGGTAGGAACAGAATCAGGACTGTGCTTACACCCCACTGCAAGAAGTGCCTCAGTGCAAACCTGGGGCTTAAGTTCCTAATTTTCACTCTTCTTTTTCATGTGCTGCTGACTCAGTACTCACCAGAGACTTGTGTTTTCTGCATGTGATGGGGGTGTTAACAGGTGACCTGCTTGGGTGGAAGGAATGAGGTTGATCATAAAACTCTCTAGAGGCTTTGATCTAAGGAAAGCAGGATGAGATGGAGGGCAGCAGATCTCTGCTGTTTATGTCAAACTCCAGGCACATTTTATTAATGCAACCAAACAACTGAAATCTTACACTGGGCTGCAGTTGCTTCTCAGCAGAGAATGAAACAGCTCTGCAAAGAACAAGGCAACAGTGGAACAGAGTTTCCCCATGAAGCTGGGGTGCTGAACCTCATGTTCCCACGAGGCCACTGCAGGGTAGTGATGGGGGCACAGCTGTGTAACCTGTGACCTGCCACACACTCTGGGTTGGGGGCTGTGGCCACAGTGCCACCCATCCAGCTCATCCCAGCGCGCTGCTCTCTGTGAGCCTCCCCTCGCTCCACAGAAACCACAGTGGAGTTCGTGTCTGGGCTGTGCAGCTGCCAAGCAAACAGCCTGGCACAGAGTCAGACCCAGTGCTTCTGAGGAACTGTGCCACAGTCAGTAATGCTGCATTTTTCCAGCTGTGGAGAGATGGGATCAAAATGTACATCCACAGAATTTTCTTCAGGGAAATCATATGCCCTTTGGAGAGGGTTTTCTTGGGAATTAAATGCAGAAGAAAGACTGGGGATTGGGAAGCTGGTTAGGAGGATGCTTTAGAGTGAAGGGGAGAAATAAATACCTGAAGAGAGCTGGGCAGTCTTGAGAGAGGCAGGAATGGAGCTGACAGAGTACCCAGGTCAGACAAGGATGCTGGAGCAGCCTGGTGAGCGGGGAAGAGCATCACAAGGGTATCAAAAGCAGGGTGGGTTTGTTTATCTCTGGCAATTTTTAGGCTTTGCATTTTTATATTTTAAAAAATAATTAAAACTAGTGATGAGGAGGGATGAAAAGAGGACTAAACATTCTGGCTAAGAATAAAACTTTCATATGCAGCATAGTCAGGAAGCAAGGGTGAGTTTTGCACTTCAAACCAAAGACAGACCAAAAGGAAAGGGCAAGAACAAGGAGCAATGGGACCAACAGCAGAAAACCCCAACCAAGAATGTATTTAATTTATATAAATTAAGGAAAGAGAAGGAAAAAACAAGGGGCTGTGTGGAGGGATAAGCAAAGGATTCTGTACAAAATTGGTATCTGTGAAGATTAAAAATACCCAGAAGAAACAGCTTCTGATGTGGCTGCAAAATATGTGTAAAAATACTGGGATTTTCCTGTCCCAGTTAACTATGAAAACTAGAAAATCAAAGTAGGTCCATCAAATGCCAACTGGGATGATGTAGGACCTGACACAGAGGATGTGACATTTGTTGGTGCAACAGAAAAACAGCAGGAAGAAATACTGCAATTCATGTAAGTTTTAAAACTTTATTTCAAATACCCATGGTTTCCTTTTATATTATCAATGTGCTAGGTCACACTACTGGCAGAATACAGGCAATTGAAAATATACAATATTCAGACACATTTATATGTAACAGAAATTATGGAATGTATTTACAGACATACAGCATGGGATGAAGCTTTAAAATCCTTTACTCTATTACTTACACGTTTACACTGTTTTCAGAAATAACAAAATTAGATCACTTTGTAGAACTTCACAATATCTATACAAAAGAATTTTTGATGTCCAAATTCACCTTACAAGTCCTCTGTTTCTAAAACAGTTTTTCCAAGAACCATTTATAGTCATGAAGGAATGCCATTTGCCATCCTGCTGCTACCAAGAACAGCAGAGGCGCTCCGGTGCTGTAGAGTTGTCCCTGGTGGATTTGAAGCAGGGGAGGGGCCTTTATGGGGGAGAAGGCCTCTCCTTCAAAGGGGGGACCCCCAGCTCTGCCCTGGCCCCCCAGTGCCATTAGGGGCTCCCTAGTGCCTGGGCCGCTCCACCTGGAGTGTGTGACCTTGCAGAGCCTCAGACACTGCTCAGGGCTCACCAGGTTTGAGGATGGAGCGTGACACCATGGAATCAGAGTAGGAACACCAGCAGCACAAGGGCTGAGGTAGATCCCTCCCACATCCTCCAACACAAATGCCCTGAAGAGGAAAGACCATCTCTTCTTTGCTTTAACACACAGAACAGAACTTTATACATGTTTTCTTTCAAATACTTTTTTCATGGGACACAACAAAAATTGCACATAACTACACTGAAAAATCCCAACCTATTTTGCAAGAGAGAAATGAGGTGGGTTTGGTGTAACACATTAAATAAACCGTATGATGAAACTTCAGGTTTGGATTTTTGTCTTAAGCATCTGGACAAGATTTAGTGCTTGCCAGCCTGAAAACATAAGATTACAAATGTCAAACGAACACAATTACCTACACTGAAACTGCCAGAGTGAATGCTGCTCACAACAAAGTACCCTGGTGCCAGGGGCTCTCTGCCTGCCTGGCCTCCAGCCACAGGTGGCCATAAGCCACTCACACTGTGAGCCACACATGGCAATAGGAAATGGCTTTCTTTCAGGCCACACTCTAACCCCTACCCCATTAAAAACTACTGTTAATCAAATGACAAAATTTCCACCAACCTGAGTACTGACTGTTAAGTTTTATTTTCCTTAAGTGCTGGAACAATCGCCACACCCTCGCAATTCCATGAATGGAATGGTTTTCTTCAAACAGGGGTATTTAAATAGCCTGTGATGGGTGTGCTGCTAAATGCAACTGTCCCTGTAACAACAGGGACCTAATGTTGGAAACTAAGATGAAGTCAATGCCTCCCTCTCTCCAAATTACGTGCAGAGACAAACACACCAGGAACACTGTCTGTGTCTGTGGTGTTGCCTGCAAGTGGCAGCATCTTCCCCCCAGCAAACTGCAGCAGACACTTCAGACACCTCTGTGTAACCCTGTGGGAATGACCAACACTCCTCACCAATGGCATTAAGTGAAACACAGAAACTACTCAAGCAGGTGAGAATGCCTATGTGGAGCTGCTCTTCCTGTGGGTACTGTGAGTTCCTGGCACTTCCATTCCCTGCAGGGCTCAGGGCACTGCATTTGCCCAGCAGGAGGAGGTTTCTCTTTGCAGCTGGGCACTCTTAAACACCTTTCAAGTGTTCTTCACTTCGAATGTGACCAATCAATGCCAATAAGAAGCAACTGGAATAATTATGAGGAACAGGGGATTCACCAAGCACCACAATGGCCCTTGAAAGAAATACATGAAGCAAAACAGAATGGAAACAAAATCAAAAGGGGAAAAATGCAGCTAAGACCAGTCTTTGGCAGCTCCCACAGCAGGTTTTACTTCTTTACTTCTAGAGCAAAAAAGACTCTTAGCTAATTTGTTCCTATTTCTTCTTCCTTTACCTGCATAAAATCCTCTCGCTGTATTCTGCTTCGAATAGATCCCAGACAGAATATGGCTGATTCCTGGAGTTGTTTTCAGAACCCTCATGTACCATGTATTAGTAGCATAATGTTCAGGGATGCTTTAAATTGGGCAACACCTGACAAAGGAACTGCAGGAGTGGAAAGCTGGATTTTGTGAGGCCTTTTTGTGGGGGAGGAAAAAAAATATTGTTAATTGATCTAGGTAGTGAACTTGGCCTTGTCACTAGGACCAAAGCATACAGACCTGTCTTTATTTTGCAAATCAGCTTTCCAGGAAAGTGCAAAACTTGTCAGATGCCCCTCCCACTTCTGCACAGTGAATTTCCATTTTTATGTTAAGGAAAGAGGAATGAAGCAATAGCAGTTCTGTAAAAACAGCATACCTCTCTACATAAGCTCCAACTAATAAAGGGCTTTACTGAAAGTCTAACCCTTCAGAGCTGCCTTAGCACACGCTGCTCTGACAACACCCAGCCCACCTGGGCAACTTGAGAAACGAACTCTTAACATGATTCATTCTGTGCCTGCAGGGGATGCTTCAGCCCCTCATAAATGTGTTAGCTCAAAGGGCTTCTAATGACCAGCAGGGCAGCCTGGCACTGTTCCCACTGCAGGGAAGTGCGTAGGATTCTGATGATCCCACAAAACCACCAGAAGGGGATGTGAGGACAGGAGCAATCTCCCTCCACTGCTGTTGGAGAAGTGTTCAGATAAAGACATGTTAAAACCCAAAGAGAAAGTGAACCCAGCAAGAATGCTGTTGGGATTTGAACAGATCTGACTTAGTATCTTTTACTAAGGTGTTTCTGGCAGAGAAAACATGCAGTAATTTTTCCATTGGGGGAAAAAAAAAAGTGTTTTTTTTCCTTTGACTTTTAGTAATGAGGACCTGTCAAAGCAAGTGACAGTTGTGTGAGGTTCAACCCTGTTATCAAACACTGCAGGTTAAGATAGTGTGATGCAATTAAAAAAAAATAATAGAAATACCCACTCTTTGGAGGCAAAGAAATTCCATTTCTTTGCACCCTGTGGGTAAGGAAAGAAATTTAATTCCCTGTGTGCCCACTACACAACACTTTTTTTTTTTTTTTTTTTTTTTTTTAAATTTTGCCCTCCTCCCAATGAACTCTCATTTTTTTAAATAAGGGGCAAAAATATTAGTAATAAAAAAAATGTTACTGGAAACTGTTGTGATCTCCAAAAAAATGGAGAAATGAAGTAAAACATTCCTGTCAGGAATCATGGAAACTCATTTCCTTAGAACAGAGCTCTGTGTGTTTGGATGCACTGCATGGGCAGTAAAGTCTTCAGGTCCTTCTGCTTAGCCAAGGTAACCCAAAAGGTCCCGGAGGTCTTTACACAGCAGACAAGTGGTGAAGTGGCTGCTGCTTTGGGGGTGCCAGCTCCAGGAGCGCCTGGACAGTCACAGCTACCTGTGTCAAACCCTTCTCTTCTAAAATATGCAGAGGCAAACATAATTGCTCCTGAATGGGGAACAAAACAAAGACAAAAACAAAATGGATGAAAACCACTCAACTGAAAAGAAAAAAAAAATTAAGCAAAAGGTGACTGAAATATGAAATGTTATGGACAGGCAGCACACACATACAGGGGTAGGACATGAGACTTCTGCTTGTGACAAAGGAACCATGACCTTGACTGCTCAAGAAAGGTGGCCTTGGGCTAATCTCTTGTGTTCTTTTAATAGAAAACTTTACAAATAAGAATTTGAAAAAGGACTGTGGGATAAAAGAGGAATAGCAAATTGTCCTCCATCTCTGCCCACACTGAGATGGCAGTGGTTTATGAAACCAAAGTAGATGAACTTGAGGAGGGGGAAGCTTTGCTTCAATACGATCAATGTGCTACAACATAGAGCAGGAGAGGAACCACAGCTTCCTTCCTAAATCACACCTTTTGGAGAAAGTCCTCCTGGGACAAGCCTGTTCAGCTACAGCCATGAGGAAACCCCGGTGGGGAGCAGGGAATGAGTCACTACCACTCACCCACCTTCCCAAAGCGCCTAGCAGGTGACCCCCAAAATCATCCTGAGGATTAACAGTAATACGCAACATGCAAAAAGAGGTTTCAAACTGTTTATTAATACTTGTGCTATTCTCAGTCTAAGATGTAGTTAAAGCCTCATCCTACAAAAGTCCTTGGCACCTCCTGGCCATCCTCACTCTACAACAGTTCTCTGTATCTGCAGAAAACAACCCAAGTGTGTCCTTCCTAAAGAGCTACAGAGACTATCTTTCATGTGTTACTTTCACATCAATTGGCATTTCATCACTTGAGTATTTACTGATTTTTGAGGTTAAAGAAATCCTTCAGCACAAACAGTGGCAGCCAACACTCCTCCCCCGCAAAGCTCTGAGCAGAGAGAAAACAAGCGAGCCCCTACTGCAATTCTCATAGAAAGCCATATGCTCAGGCTAAAATACATTTTTCTCCCAGCAAATGTATATTACTTTGAAAAAGTGTGCTTTTTGAGAAAATACTTGTAAACTTGAGGAAATATGCCTTATCTTTTTTCTTATGTATGCAAACAGATAAGGGGGAAAAGCTTTGGAATGACTCCATACCACACACAGTAATGACAAACAAAATTTAAAAACTGGAAGGCACTGTTAGTGTAAAACCCCTTGCAGCTTTTATCACAGTGTTCATTAGAAGTTAAGAAACACAGGAACCGAGTTCATTTTAGTTCATACCAGTAAACAGTACAAAAATAGCTTACTTAAAAATAAAACAATCTCCCCCTGTCAAAAGTCCCTTCTTTACTCAGTGATGTTTGGCTTGGACAGAACATTTTGTGTGACTTGGACAGAAGGCAGCAGCTCTTACTTGCTCCTTTGAGAAATACTCACTTCATGGTACAAGAGCTTGTGAGACCCACATACAGATAACACATTTTTACTGGTAGTGACCCCATTTTCAACTGAACTCCTGTGTACCTTAAACTGTGCTTCAGAGGTGTTCCATGATATGGCTGGAATGCCAGCATCAATTGTACTGGGCTTCCAAGCCATTTACTGCACTTGCAGATATAACAGAATTTTATTGAAGACACATTTGGAACAGCCATTTCCTGAACACTTACCTGTCACTGATCTCTGAGCAGAGCTCCCTGAATGGATCTCCACTCTGAGGAGACATGGTCTGTTACACACATGGGGAGTGCCCTGAAGTTCTGAGGTGTCCCTGAGACATTAAAGCATTAAAGCACCAGGATGCTTTCCCTGGGGAGGGAAAGGCTGTGAAGCTTTATGGAAGACTACCTGAGTTTTGTAAAACAGTGAAGAGTGCTTGTGCAGCCAAGACTTTTATTTGTGCAACTGCATGATACAAGTGTTTCTGAAAATGACAGGGTAAGAGAAAGAAGAGACTAAGCATGGAACAAGCTTGGGTTGGGGTTCCCAAGATCAAGTGACAATTCAACACGTTTTATGACATTCTGTAGCACCTGACAAGATCATAAAGATTTTTCTTTCTGTTCCAGAACACTTTTCTCTTAAAGCTGTTGAAGAGCTCCATTTCTCTGAAATTTTTTTTGCTATCAAGTTCAAGTAGTTCAGGATTCATTGACAGTTGTTCTAAAAAATCCTGACTCAAAGTAATACAGCAGAGTCTATAAATTTGAGAAATCAAATGTGCTCAGAAGCAGGATAAAGGACTGGGGATAAAAAACCAAACCAGTTAGAAAGCTCTGTGGACAATACCAGACCATGTCTCCTAAGACTGTGAGATTGCATCAAGAACACTGACATTGAAAAAAATACTTCACATTGTTAACATTTTTCATCAGATAATCCTCAGGCAATTTACCATAGTGGTTGCATTTCCCATTATACAGATGGGGGAACAGAGGCACAAATTGACACTGCAGTTTTCACTACACCACTGGTCAGCAGACTACAGCATGCACCACGTGTCCTGACCTCAGCCCTCACTTGAGCCCGGGGACAGCACCTCCTCCCTTGGAAAGCATTTCATCTGCTCAATGTAACACAGCAAATACAAATGGGAATTGGGTCACGGATGGTGGTGTGGGTGCACCAACATGTTTCCACATCGTACTTGTCACCTCTGTCCCATCCGTGGGAAACAAAGCACTTCATACACACAGTCTTGGCAAAGCCCAGAATCTGTTCCCAAGCACTGGAGTGACGAAGGGAGGAAGCAGCACCACTATCCTTCACTAGAGAAAAAAGACCCAGCGATAGAACATACAGAGCGTTAGCATTAGAGTACAGTAAAACACCACAAAGCCCCAGAGCTGAACGGAAAGAGACACGAGACTGGATTCTTCTGAATCTGTCCCCAGGGAAAGAAGAGTCTCAACTGTTCTTTTAACGCTGAGGTTTAGCTGGAGAATGTCAGAAGGGGAACAAAGATTGTCCTGTCCAGAGTGTGTGAGCAGGAAGGGAAAACAGACAGAAAAAAAAGGTCAGTCAGTTAGCCATAGCAACATCCACGAAGCAGTTATCAGACATCTCAGATACAACCTACACATTTGAGAAGCACATCACAGCTGGTTAATTTTCACATAGAAATCTGCAAGACTCTCATTGCAAAGAGCTCAGTGTCAGTGTTTAATGTTCAGTGAGGTGCCTGTCACCTCTCCAGCTCCAACATGTAACTACTCCTTGTCGTTAAAAACAGCGGTTTATACAAGCCTTAGTGAAACCCATTTTTCTCTAGAAGTGAAGATGTTACAGCTATCTGAGATGTTGCTGGCATTGAGTACTCACCAAAGTTCAGCCTCCACATGTAACTTAAGGAAAACAGCAGGACAAGAGATTATTTATGTGTAACTGATGTTTGAATGCAGCATTCTGCAGAAATATCTATTACTAATTAGAGTTTAAGAGTTCTGTAACTATTCCCATTGTGTGTCTCTTGTGTCCCTTTCCCACAGGTAACTGCTAATCAGTGAAATCTAGATGCATGGATCAAGCTGTTCAGCTGTTCAGGGTTTCCTTTGATCCAAGTGCTTTAAAATCACCAAAGTCCTACACAAATTGATGCTCTGTTGTGGTGCCTGTAATTAGCCCTTTCTGAAAGTAGCCTTCCCCTTAAAAGGCAAGTATTCCTACATGGATCTCTGCTTTCAGAAATCCTATTATTTTTGCAATTACAATGGAAATTAAATGAAAAACCTGCAGGCGATTTTTCAAGAAAAACATACTAGGCTGCCATGCCACTCTTACATGCAAGTATCTTATGTTCACATCTCAACAGAGATGTAATGCAGACATATGAGAGCAGCTTTGGAGTTCAGGGAGGGTATTTTCCTAAGTTTTCCCAGACAGACCTTCCTTGAACTCTTTCACATTAAAACAAGATATATGAGAAAACTGTGTAGGGCCCTACACAGTAGGGGTAGCAGATTGAGCAGCCTGGGTTTACAGGGGACTTTTTCTTGATTGGCCTTTGTGTTTGGTTTTGATTGTGGGTCATTCCAGTGATCTTCTTTGTACTGCAATCCCATAAAAATTTTATCTTCATACTTGAGGGAGCTATAAATAGGGAAGCTTGGGATGGAATTGCACAATGCCCCAAATGAATTTATATTGTGCAGTTCTGCTGGGACTGAAAGTCCAAATGTTTTTAGAGGACCAAAGCAGTGCAGGATCTTCCAGCATTAATGATCACTTACAACTCCCCAGCCCCTTCTAACATGATTCACCACAGAGCCATGTGAAATTGCCAGGCAGCTCAATAAGTAAGTTATCCTAAAACCCAAGTGGCTCAAATGTCTGCAAGTGATCTGAAAACACCAGAAAATTCTACATGACTGACTTAAGAACTGCCTTTAGATGTAGCTGGGAAATGAGTCACAGGGTCTACTTCTCTCTTTCAGAATACAAAAAAACCAGCACCTACAACAGAAACACCAATGCTCAGCAATGTAAAAACCCAAATCAATTAGTGCACTGGAAGGGAAATTAAGAAAAATCGAATATATTAAAACTACTTGTACTGAGACAGCTGCTGAATAAGACGAAGTGCAAAGGACAGGACAGCATAAAAACAGGATAACTAGACCAACGGGATAAAGATGGACTCTAATATGTGTCCACCTCCTAGATCTTACAAGTTTCCAAAGGGGACAAGGAAGACAGACTTTTTACCACCAGTACATAACAAAAGAAGTAGGAACTATGCAAAGACAGCTACCATCAGAGAAAGGCAAATAATTCTGTGACTTGCTGGTAAGATGGAAGAGACATTCATGTAAGAGAATTATTGTGAAGGAACATGAAAAGCTTTGGGATAAAAAAAAACCACATGCAAACCACCGTCCAGATTTTATCCCACTTTGAAGCTTTCACATACCTAATATTGAGAAGATGTAACTACCAGTTCTAAAGGTAGACTTGAAATCCATCAGCTATTATGAATTCGATGCACAGTATTTAAGTGAATCTGTACTAAAATATAAATTCTATCAACTATACTCTGAGATAAACTGTATCTGGCTTCACTTTGCTCTGGAAGACCATGCAAAGTAAGTCCGATCTATACTGCAGGACAGCTTGTACCTGAACCTTCTAAACTTTTAATCATTTTGTTTTAATCTAATATTCCAAAGAATGTTTTATTTTCTGAAGCACCAGGCAAAACTGCATTTGAAACATTTTATCAGGACAGCAGAAATACATACCTGAGGCACTCCAATCCTTCTGCAAGCTTCCAAGAAATTCTCCACGTTTCGTCTGCACTTTGCCATTGTAAGTTTAGGCTGCAAAGGAGCAAAGGCATACAATGTTCTTAACTGGCAACATTTTAAAAGGTTTTGATTTTTTTATTTAAATAAAACTCTTAATAAATCTCTTTGCCAGAAACAGCGCTGACATAAGCTCATCTAATTCAAAGCAGGCTCTGCTGAAGTTTGCTTTTCTTAGAAAACCATCCCAGTTTTCAAAGCTGTTTTATGAAAAGCTAAGTTATGAATGCTGGATGATTTTAAAAAAAGGACAGTTCTAAGTTCAATATTTATATACACAGTGTTATATAAAACTGGCTAACATTTCTAGTGACTATAGTATAATCATTAAAAAAATGTCTTTTATGAAATGCACATCCATGGCTTCCATGCTGTGATTTCAGAGCAATTTCGAGACATGAAGCATTCTAGAGCGTGTTCTTGATTACTATAATGCAAAACTATATAAATATCAAACCATAGCTCAATTAAAAAAAAGGTAAAAAAATAAAGGCTAAATTAAACCAAAAAATAGTGTCAGAAGACTGAAAGTGAAGCTTGCTGCTTGTCAGCCTCTTGTAGATGTGTTTAATAGAGCTGTCTGAATTGCAATCATTGGCATTTTTTCTACTAAGGTTTTTTTCTGCAGCTTTCACAGCTCTTCAGACATACCACAGCACAGGCTCTGTCTTGCCTGCTCTCAAAGCTTATTCTTTTCTGGTTCAAGAGACACTAACTCCCTTCTCCTGTGAACATGCTTTGGAGCAGTAGGCAGCAGTCTCCAGGTGTTCAACACTTCTGTAAGTGATGGGGTTTCTTCTGTCTCCTTCATGTGCTGTGTTTCCCCACCAAGGAAGCAGGTTAAAGGCCAGCACTGGCTTCTTTCTCCCAAAGGTGCAAGGGAGTACAAAGATCACACTGTGCCTGTGTGTGTGGATGTGGATTGGCAGGATGTGATGGCCTCTTCTGCTCCTGGAGCCATGTGACTCCAGGCTGCCTCTTCCTTGGGATTCACATGACAAAGCCGTGATTTAACACAGAACATTCAGCTGCACATCAAACCAGGCCATTGAAAAGATCTCACTGACACAAGTCTCCTGAGCAGTGGCTCCCTGCCTTTGCTTGAAATGATCCCACAGTCTGCCTAAAACGTTGGTGTGTCCAGTTCAGTCGTTCTCAAAATAATGGGGCCATCTGCCTGGTCACATCAAGTCCCAGGGACACAACCACAATGGCACACTTCTCAGCCCTGAAAGTGCCACTTCAGATTCCAACCAACATGAAGACTCACTTCAAACGAAGACTAAGTGAAGACCGTGTTCATGTTTCAACTTCTTCCCCAAGGAACAATCTGTTTTTTTCCCCTTATTCATACAATTTAAAGGTGCATAACAAGCAATCTGCCTGTCCATATTACTTTCAAGTAGCTGATCTGAAACATTTTCATTGAACTTTCTGACTTCCACAAACACAAACTGGATAAATAATCTGCTGTTATCTCACAGATTTTGACCGTTCTCTAACTCCGTGCTTTCCCTACAAAATAGACTGCAATGCTCTCCACAGTCCCCTGACACAGCCACCTTTTTCTCCTGTTATCACAAAGGTATGATGAGATTTGTTTTGTTCAGGAGATGCTGTTTTCCAAGTGTCTTGAGTGTGTTCTGCTAAAATTCCTAAGCAGAGGAATTTGTAGTGCTATGAAGTGGACACAGGAATCAACTTGGTCTCTGCCTGGTTTCACTGTCTTTTGTAGTGGGATCCTACTTGTAATTCCCTGCTATGTTTTCCTGAACTTCTCAGACATTTTCATCTTTTAAAATATCCTGTTTCGGTTTTCACGGTGAACTGTCTTGTATTTCACTAATTTTGAAGTTAATATGCTTAGGTAGTACATGAAAATGTTAACATTTGCTTAAAAGCTGTTAGAAGTAACTTCCTTTAAATGAAACAAACCCAGACAGAATTTCATTTAGTGACACTGCAGACCTTTTTTAAACAGCACAGATGGTTATTTTTTGTCACATACATTCACTGAGGAGAATGCTGAGTTTAGCGTCTGCCTGGATTACAGGACTGTGTAGGATGTCACTTTGGACAGCTCTAAAGTAGTGTCAGTGTTACACACTTACAACAGCAGGTGAGGGCACGTGGATGCTGGGGACAGAGCGGGGCCGCACGTGGTTGGCCAGGTGGCACAGAACGACGCCGTCGGTGAGAGCCGCCCCGAGGTCGCTGGGCAGTGACACCTTCAACCGCGACTCGATGTTCTGTGGGAAACCGACAGGGACACACATGGGGGAGCTGAGAGCTGCATTCTTCCAGCTGGGGCATTCCGCACAAGCTCATATGGGGCAGAGTTCCTGCATCACAACTCTGTCTGTCCTCATGGCATTTCCAACCAGCTTTCTGAATAAGCCCAAGGAAAGCCCTGCGCATTACTGTGGCCCAAGGCTGGCCACAGTCTGGGAGCAATTGAGTTCAACAAAGAACAGTTTTCATTGTACAGCACAGTACTAATACAACCATTATTCAAAAATAATGGAAATCAGGATCTAGGAACAGTATTCCTAACCCTACATATTCTCAGAGAATGGTTCTGCCAAGAGAAGTGAAAATAATTGTCTTTGTGGGTTGGAGGATAATACAATTAACAAAAGTCAAGACAATAATTTTGCCTTTAAATAAAAACTGAACTATTTAGTATAAGCAATCCTGTAAAAAGAAGCTAGCTAGCATTTTTTAAAGAGAATGAACAGAAATTCAATTCAAGCTTTCAAACTAATTTGAAATGCTGTGTGAATGTCACCAAGTTGTAATACTGTATCTCATTTTTTAAGTATTATAAAAACAATAAAGCTTAGCTGGGGAGCAGAACAAGAGACAGAATACATAGAAAACAGTTCAAGATAACATAAGAGAGGTTTGCAAACATCACCAAGTAATCTTTCTCCTTCAGAGAAAGGAGACTGTCCTTACTTCAACACTTCCTCCCAAAGAGAGGGAATTTTCTCTATCTTGGATGCTTATGGCTTTTAAGATTAGTTTCAACACGTATATTCTTTTTACTTGGAAAATTCAAACAATTAATTACAGCACCTCAAGAAATCCCTTCATGCTCTGCAGAAACAAGTTTGGGGCAAAGCAGAGCAGTACCTTAATGCCATGTAGCATTTCCAATATTCCTGTTTATTGTCATTGTACCTGGACAAAAACCAGGAGTGTCTTGCCCCTGGGCAGACAAAAAGCATAAATATTAGAAACATTTGTGGCTCAAATGTTCTGTACTTAACTCAGGATAAGGCAAGAATCAACAGACAGATCTAGAGCACACAAGGAAACCATGATGGCAGCATGACTGGCAGCAGTCTCTGCACTCCATCTGCTTTTCTGTCAGCTTCATAGCAAAAAAGAATTTAAAAAAAGATATTAAAAGGGGACAGTAAAGGCAACTTTCCAGGGAGATCCTTACTGAAAGCTTATAAGGAAGAAAGGAAACACACATAAAAGCAGAGTTCACCAGACATTCATGAGCAGGAGTTGACATAGTTTTTCATACAGAAGTTGAAGCTGACTTTATCTACCACAACCAACCAAATGAACACCACTGCACCCATCTGAAAGAAGTACATAGACTGTACCACACTGTTTAATTTTGGTCAATTGTGCCCCATATTGGTTCAGTGAAAGTGGTCCCTAAGACAACTTTTAGCAGATTTAGCAGGGTCACAAAATGCATTTCCTGCTATATCCACGTTCTGGCTACTGCAGCCCTTACCTTGCGTAGCTGCTCTATCAGCTCCAGTTCTTCCTCCCGCTGTTTGGAGTTTTGTCTCACTCGAGGGTCTGCAGAATCATTAGCAGGAGACAAGGCACGGGTAGAGGATGAAGCAACGGCTAAAACAGCAGCATGAAGGAAAGAAAACCACTAAGCACAATTTGGCTCTGTGTTGTTTGCTACTGCACACAAAGTTCCAGAATGGGGGCATTACATTCCTTTTTCTTACCTTTGATTATTAATCAAACTAATGGTCTACCAACCTAAATGAGATGTCAACACAATTCATTCACTGTTTAGATTCTGATCTTTCTGTTGGATAATAATCATGCACAAATGACAACAAAGTTTTGCCACATGGAGTGTGTTGAAATGGTTCTGTCTTTCTCCAGAAATTCCAATGCTGTTACAGGCTACTGGGCAATGCAAGAATTATCAAGTTGTTGAAGGCTAGTGTGGCAAAGGTCTAAGTGCAGACTGGGATGAGCAAATTCTCACACTTCCACAGATGTGATAAAAGAACATTGGACGTCTCTAAATAAAACTCTGTTTGTTCACAACATATATGATGTCATCTATCTACAAATGGAAAAAGTAGTTTGATGATAAAGACCTGAAGTAACAAAACACTGCAAGCCCTAGGTAATGCAGATGTCACTATAATGTAGCAAAACTAGCTGATTTCTGAGCTATATAACCTACCTTTCTTGGCTTCATCCCTGACAGCTGTTCGGAAAAGGAAACTCTCAGGTCGCTGGGAAGGGTTTCTATAGGAAGGCGGGGCTGCATGGGCAGGATATGGAGGGGAAAGGTGGACTAAACAAATGTGGAAAGGCACAGGAAAGGAAGGAGGAAGAAGGAAATGGTTAGAGTTTAAATAGGAAATGGGTACAGCAATGTGGTAATTAAAAAGAACCAAAACTTTTAATGCAATGATGACAAAACAAATTACAGCCGTGCATGATAAAAGCAGAGCAGGAAAAGGCACTTTCAAGGACACTTGCATGCAAAGCACATTCCACATACCAATTCCAACAACTGTTCTGACTCTTGCTGAATGCATCTATGTGCCAAAGCCTCTATGAAGGCCTAAACCAGCCAGACCCTATGCTCTGCCTAAGGATATGCTTCACCCCTGTTGTCTCTTCCCTTGTGTTTTTTTCTAAGGAGGCCCAAGTAACTGGGTAAATTCTTGCACACAGTAGTGCCATAGATGTAGGAACAGATGCTCCCCTCTCTTCATAGGACAAATAAGCAAGCAGGCATTTTGATCTTAATTTTTCAGAATTTTTTTCCTGTCCCTGTTACCTGTCTGAGCAGTAGGTGAGCCAGGGGAGATGGTGGATCTGTCATCACTCTGTGAACAAAAAAGCAAAAGAGTATGAATGGTCCTAATCTAGAAAGACTATATTTTAATTTGCTGTGTTTTAAGAAAAGCTCCAACCATCTAAATGTGTTTCAGAGAAATAAGAAAAAACACTGTATGCTGACCCAAGTCTTATCCCTGCAGAGACAAAGTATTTTTCTTTTACAGAAATGACACAATTGCTTTTTTCCTTAGGAAAAAGATAGATGAAACAACACTGACTATGCAATGCCAGATCATTCTTAACTCTTCCTTCTAACCTGAAGTGAAAGGGGACACCAAAAAACAGGTATTAAGCAACATGCAGAATTGACAATACAGCAGCCCTGACAAGGATACTCCTCTGACACCTTTGCTAATGCAGAACTGCTATTTACTGAACATCTGTCCCCAGTGAAACACACTGTGGCTTCATTACAGTGCTTACACAGACTAATGACTTCTTGTGAGGAATGCATTCAGCACAGCAATTTCCACAGAAAAGAAAGAAACAGGAAAATAATACAAGTGTACTTTCGATGAACTCAACTTGATCAAGAGTAAATAATCTTGTACAGAAAAAGCAACATCAAAGACAACCAAGAATCCCTTAGAGCAGAGACTGGTTACCATGTTTTATAGATCAGGCCTCCTATAGACACAGCCTAAAGCTAAGATGAGGTAATACCTACTACAGCTTAATCAGGTGAATCAGGTTCATACCCTACCTGAACTTTTGATTAGATGCTGACAGACTAACACCTGTTAAAACCGATGAGTGGATCCGAGATTTTTTTGTTGGCTCTAGTGGTGAATGATAATAGCAAGAGATACCTTGACAGGACTGAAGGTAGAGGCACTAGGCAGGGTAGTAGCACAGCTTTCTTGGTTCAACCCTGAAAGTGACTGAATGCAGAAAGAAACAGAAGGCAGTAGCAGAATTAGTGAGTAGGTGACAGGTCATACACAAAGGTGGAATGCAGCAAAGCTAAAAATTAAGAGGTGATCACGATCACTTCTCAGAAACACTCAACAAGCAACACATATAAATTGCTGAACTATAGTTAAAGCCTTCCTACCCCCCTGAACTTTCTGGGAGGTACAGTGCTTCTTTTACATATAATACAGTGACATTAAAAACAGAATTAAGAACAGTAACTGAGGCAAAAGCTTCTTTAGTAACACCTATGCCATGAGAAAAAAAGGAATTTTACCCTACAACAGTTCATTCTAGGCCACCATTAAATAAATGAATTCTTTTTTAATGTTTTGAGGATGCTATGCATGTCTGAAAAATCAGAGAAACCCACATTCAAGAGGCTCAGTAATACCCACTTTGTATCTGCCACAAACACAACTGGTCCTTGTGATTACACACAAAGTAAATGAGATTCTCTGGGTAGAATCTCACTCTTGGGGAAGATGTCAGTGTCAGGATTTACAGTATTGCCACAAATAAAGTGCAATCACATTTCAATTATGACCAATATCAAAACCAGCCAAATAATCAACTTTTCCTGTTTATAGAACAGGGGCTGTAGTTGTCCCTATTTGTCACTGACAGGTGGATCTAGAAGGCCAAATCCTATGTTCTGCTGATAGCACCATCAAAACTTTAACATTTGAGGACTGAATGGTTCACTATGCTTTCAGAAACAGCACTCAAACAGCAAAGTGACATTTCAGCACAGGAAAGAACATCAAATGACACCTAGAAACACTACAGGGAGTGAAAGACATGTAGGAATTAGTTTTTAAAACATTTGCAACTATTCTGCCACTTCAGAAGAGCACAGCCAGAACGACTAGAAGGGAAAGTTTACACTCGTGGCAAGCCTTAAACACAAATGTTTTTAGGACCTGTACAGACTTACAGCTGATCCTCAAGACTGCCTCTTTCTCCAGAGCAGGGCAGAGCCAAAATGGTGGGGATTTTTTTATTTTTTAAGAGTTTCAAATATCACTTGACTTAGACAACACATTAGCTAGCACATGAGAACACTAAAACAATCCAGAACTAGGTGGGCTGTAACAGCTGCTTATTCCTGTAGGAAAAGAGCAGGGCAAGCTTGACACAGACTAACAAGAAGTGGTCCCTATGCACAAACCCAGCAGTGAGCAGAGGGAAGGGAACACAGCACAGGGAGGGGCAATCACAACACCAACACATCACATGCTCTTCACCTGTTTGCGAGCGCTTGGCCTCCTTTTAATGGTATTGGTGTTATTGTCAATCTCAAACACAAAGAGAGGCTCAAAGCCATTCTGTCAGGGACAGCAAGGAAAGAAAGAGAGGGGAAAAAAGGAAGAAGTGAGGCAAAGAACGACTGTGAGGAAGGCCAGCCACAACACTGAAGGAGCCAGGATGCTGCAGTTCAGACTGACACCACCTTCTGCACATGCTGCACGCACTCTTTAGTTCTAGCACTGAAGTCACAAAAATTTCCCTGTGCCAGAAACAACTACAGATACAGGCAGTGCCAAAGGAGAGCCCAACCAGAACTCTGCATGGACCAAATATGGATATTATAAGGGAATTTGGTTATTAAGCATTTGAATACACAAATGAATACCAATGGTCTGAGAGAAAATTCCAGGGTACAAGTTTGCGTAAGTCCTGCTTACTTTACCCATACCATTATTATTTGTAACACTCTGGTGCTTAACTTAAACTTAGTCTTAACTTAAAATGTTTCAGAGATCCTATGTGCTAACAGTAATATGACATCCTCAGGCCACATTTGAGAGCACAACAAGAAAACAACACAAGGAAGGGAGCACAAGGCAGCAGTGACACAAAGGTTGTGAGAGCAACAGGTCACAGCATCTGTCTGATGCTTCTGAAGCACCTTGTGGGCTTCACTACAGAGAAATGCAGCAGCAGTTAGAGAGGATGTTTTGGGTATTTCCACCCCTTTAATAGTACTAACCTTGTTAGGGACAGTATAGGAAAAACAAGAAGATATTTGGAAAAAAATGATATTTAGAAGCAATGAAGGCTGAAATCATCAACCAAGTGTGAAAAAGCCTGATACCAGCTCTACAAGTAATCTCTGCTCTAATGAATGGAACTATCCTTGTGAGAACAGCAAGAGGTTCTGACTAACACAAAACCTATTTTCTCAGAGAGGCCAGTGACTATGTTTCTTCAACAATCTTAGTCTGGTTATCTATCCCAGGTCAACCCAAAGAAATCTACCACAGTGTGCAATGAACAGCCAGACTCCAAATCACAGGTATGCAGGAGAAACTACAACTAAACTGAACCATTAACATTCACAGAAAGTATAGGCAATCATTCTGAGACTTCAAACCAACTGTCCTGACTTTGTTTATAAACAGAAGGAAATGGTCAGAGTAACCTGTGCAACATGAATACATTTTAATTTTAATTAGCGATTAAAGACAGCAACAAGATGACCAGAAGAAAAACTAAAGATTCTAAAAATGAGATTCACAACTTTGATTTTTTGTTAAAGCAGTAACAATGCCAGAAGAGCAAAGTAGTAAAATAAAAGCTCACTTGCTTTCTAACTACATATTAGATTTAGCACTTTTAAAAGCTTTTCCTTATGTCCTCAGAAATTGGACCTAGCTAAATTTCAAACCTGTAAGGACATGGAAAATGTTAAATGAAATGCAATAGAATATAAAAAAGTAAAAGCAATGTAAACCCTTACTTTTTTTTTTAAAGCAAACTGATGACCCTTTCCTTGAAGGTGAACAAGTTTTTATCACATAAAATACATTTGTGTAAACAAAAGATGGTACAAATTCATGAGCTAGTATGGGCCTGATGTTCCAGGTACAGTAATTGCCAGAAACTGCTGCCCTGACATATGTGATCATTAGGCACAGTGTGGATTTCCACCATAGAAGAGAGCTGCAGATCAGAAACCGCAGCATTTCACATACTATTATAACTTAGTGCTGCTGAAAAATGTGAGGAATAAAAAGAAAAATGAAAACAAATTATTGCTTTCAATCATTCCCTGCCAGCCTGGTCACTCTTTTTGTGAAGTTAAAGAATGTAACTTGGTTAAAGACAAAAGAGGAAACAAACAGCAATGGAAGCCAGTTTCAAGGTAGTTTCCGAAAATTCTGAATCTTAATTTGCAACAAAAGTCATGTGTTCACTCAATCAAATAGAAATGGGGTTCTTACATGTGTCTTTAAAGTATGTTCCAAAGACAAATTCACTGACAACAGAAAATCATCTCAACCCAAACTACTGCTGTTCTCTTGCTTTTTATGACCTATGACAGCACATTTTAATATGCTTGTTGATAGGGAGTTCTCTAAACAGCAACATGATTATTAAATTTCTCTCTAACGTTTTAAGCTTTCTTTCTCACTCACAAAGGGCTAGTCTTATGAAAGCAGAAAACCCAAAAAGTCTGAATAAAGACACAGTAAACATCTTGACCAACGCATTGAGGAGAGAGACACTCTAACCAAGAGCATTGCCTAAAGAAAATTTAGGCAGATAATGGAAGCACATAAATCAAGAAAATAAATTCTAGGCATGCACTCATGCAACAGCAGGCAAATCAGGTGTATTCTTAATTTTCTAGACATGGATTATGACATTAATTATATTTTTAGTTATGCTACATTGCTAAGATGCCACAAAGGAAGAAATAGCATAAAACATGAATTATGTGCATACATGTTTTTATTTTTGATAAGTGTTCAAAAGAAATTATTTTAAGACATTTGCACTAATAAACAATAAAACTGTATGAGAAGTATTTCATGATTTGTAGCATTCACAAGTAGAACACTTTTTTCTTGTGCCAAGTATTTCTAACCCCCATGTGCAGGACACAGACAAGTTAAAATAGAAGGCTGTATTCTATAAAGCATTAAAATTGCTTACTTGGCACTGAAGAGCACATCAAAAAGCAAGCTGAATGGAGAAGAAATCAAACCAGAACAACTAGAGGTGAATTTTTCATTTTAGAAACTGTTCCTTACTATCAGTAACTTTCTTCTGCTCTTAAACAAAAGATAAGCTTTAATTATATTGTAGAAAAACATCATAGTATTATTAGCAAATGTCTGACAGCAAAAGTGTTGACATATTCATAACACCATAGTTCACAGCTAAGCTACTTTTCAAAGGAGATGGTCATGTTTTATGCTATTTAGATTAGCTCTGAAACAGTTGGTCTAATCTGAGACAATCATAACATGTTGTCATTTCTATGCTCTAGAATCTGCTACAGAAAAAGGCCATTACGTGCAGGATCTTACCACTAACAAGGCACTATCATCAGTATGCTGAGACCTTCTGGATGGAAAGGGACACTGGGAGGTGGGAGAGATGGAGCAATGTCAGAAACACACACAATGTCAGAAACACGGTATGCGAACAGACAGACATTTTGGAACATGTACTGCTTGCTTATAGCACTGTGAGGCTCTTTAAAACAATCCATGAAGTATCTGTAACTCTGTAGGAATACACAGCCACGTGACCCAGGAATTACAGCGCAGTTCTATTGCTTAAGGAATCAATTATTCTGCTTTCTGTCTTGTGTCAAGCAAATACAGAACACTATGCATTCACAGTGCTTACTCTGGTAGAACAAAGAACCTTTTAGAAGAATAAATTAAGAACAGAAAAACATTAAGAAGAAAGAGGAGCAAAAACTATTTCAATTACCCCATGTTTTGGTAATTTTTTAACATGAGTTAGTTGGAAAATGCTGCTTAAGAACTATCGTATTTGTTATTATATTGAAAGTTTTGATCTGATTAACACTACCAAGTGAATTATCTTTCTCTGGACGAAGGTGGGGATGGCAACCAGTGGAAGAGCTGTCACTATGCAGAAACCTGATGCAGAGAGTGAACAGATGTCATTCGCTCAGCTCTGTATATTCTAGAAGACTGAGCTTTGTATGATTTGTATTCCTGGTTTTCATTATGGAAACTATATTACTATAAAACTATAGTAGAAAAAAACAACTTAAAAACTATTTATTCCTTTTTGTGACAACCCTCAAAATTCTAAAGCTTAATATTTCTGGGACAACTGGTGATCTAATAACAGGAAACAGGAGAAAAACTGATCTGTGAAGGATGACTGTAGCACTGTAACTTGACTGAACACTCCTCTTAGAATATAAACTATACTGCTCACAAGGAGCAGGTTAAAATGGAACATTAAATGTATTCTCTGCAGAGAACATAGAAAAAGTACAAAAAACAATAAAACAACACACTTGGACAAGCAATCTACATGAACAGAAGAAAAGTGGACTGACCCCATTAAAAAAACCCAGCCAAGGCTTAATAATATGTGAAAAAATTATGCTATAACCCAGTTTTGAGGTGTTTTCCCCACAATGAGGAAAATAACTCTGATGGAGAGCTAAGAATAAGTGCTGACATCCCTACTAATGCTCTTATCGGACTCTTACCTCACTATCCATTGGACTTGGTTTCTGAGGACTTAAGGAGGCTTTTTGCTACACAGAAAAAGAAAAAATTAAATTTAAAATAATTTCATAAAGAAACAAAAGCTCAGAACAAACCAGCATAACTTGAAAGTGTTTTAAATCAGAAGTCTTAATTTTTAAATAGAACATGCATTGGGAAAACTGCATATTTCACTGAGCTGAAACTTCCCTGATATCAGTAAAAAAGCAGCCTTTATTCCACATTCAAACAACCAAAAATTTCTAATTATGCATATGAAAGATGCATAATGAACCCAAAATACAACCCAAGGGAGGAATTTAACTGTTGAGAATAAAGCGGTCATGAATAAGAAAGGAAACATGAAAAATACCCAAAAATCAAACTGAAACCAAAAACCCCAGGAGACTCATCAGTGAACAACATGCATCCTATAAGCTTAATTTTTAACTAAAAGACTGAGCTGAATCTTTAATAAGCAGATTTACTACAAAATAGTGCCAGGGGCTTGGTAAAGTTATTGGTATGAAAAGCCTAGTTTCAGGCACCTAAGACCCTTTTTCTAAACTAACTTTATACACTAAATATATGCAATAAACCACCCTTTACCTCTCTGCAGACCACCCTAAACCCAAAATAAATATTAACCATAACATTTCTTACATTTGTGATGGTGAGATTCAGGTAAGTGACCTGAACAGCAATCAGCAAAACAAATTTAAATCAACTATCATATAAATAAACTGGCATGTTAAGCAGAAGACTTCATATTGAATGCACAGTGAAGATAGAGTGCTCTGAGTGAGTGCCTGATGTACCACAGGTCTGCACCCACACTTCACAGAACTTATTTTATTATCACAAAATAGCAAAATAGATGAGGCAGCATTATATTTTTGTGTGTATGATTATTTACTCCCTGCCAAATCTGTCTTCAAAATTACACTGCCTCTATGCCTGCTTGGATAAAGGCCTCTTCTTTCTTAAACCAATCCCATCACATCTATGCAAATGAAAATTGAGAAAATTAGGTAAAATATGCAAAAATCAGAATTCTTTTCAACAATCACATTTTGGGTAAATCTTCCATCTTATTCCCCAGTTCTAGCTTTGCCTGTGTTAAGCTACAGCATCAACACTTAAGGGACTTAAATGCTATTTGTCCAAATTCCTTATAAAGTGCCAGGAGCATAACATACAAGCAGTAATTACCATGGCAATTAGTTATAATTAAGGGATTTAGAAAAGATCAAGTATGAAGTAGATACTAAAAGGAGGCACCTTAACAAAGTCAAGGACAGCTTCTCTCTGAATCTGCTTAGTTCTCATCCTCTCCTCCTCGTACTGAAGGGCTGCCAGCTGGGCCTCCCGACGGGTGCGCTCGATGTGCCGGCGGTGCAGCTCAGAATCTGTGTTGGGCACCTGCAATCAAAAAGGGCATCAGGCTGTGAAGTCAGAGCTGCAGATGGGTTATGGAGAAACACCCCGTGTCTTATGGATAACATCAGTTTGGTTTTGTCACAAACTCATTCAAAACTATTTGAATTCTATGTGTTACCTGGGTGTGGTGACTTGATAGCGAGAGAAAATAAGGTGAATCAGGCAGGGGTCTGACAAATGCAAAAACAGAGAGTAAGTAGACTTTTAAGCTTAAATATAAAAATTTTGCAAAAATGAATTGTCAGTGACATACAAGCATCTGATCAAATCAGAAGAGTAACTGTCTACTAACAGCTGTGCTGATGATTTAACTCACTATGAATGACAGATTTTGTGAAGTAATTTCTATTTCTTCTCCTGAATTGCAATAACATTTTTTTACAGCACAAGATGTACCAGTGGGATTGTACATTTGGCCTACTACATTGAGACACTCAGTACTTCATACCCATTCTCTAAGAATAACCAAACCAGGAGTTTCTCACATGATCCTCATTTAGAGGATAGTATGGTTATTTGAGGGAGGGGAAAATAAAATAATGAATCTGCAGAAACACTCTCTTTCTTTTTCCCTACCTCTCTGTCCTGTCCACATAATTCCTTAGTACTTGGTGATGCTCTCTGTCCTGCATCAAATTTAGAGTTTCAGGTCTTCGTAATTCATCTGTATCCCTGCAGGTAAGACAGCAGGTGGAAGGGGATTTGGCCACTGATGCACATAGACTACTGTCAGGTTAATTCCATTATAGATTACAACTGTTTTTGTGAGAGAAATGCCCAAACAATTAGCTTCAGATAATCACAAAAGTGAAATCTGGACTAAAGAAATCACATTGTGATACCAAGTCAGATCACAACTACTGCAGTTCATAACTAAACATAACTTGCTTAATTAACAATGGTTAATGGTTACACAAAGATGTATTCTCTCTTTTAAAACAATATTTGTATTATTGCAGGCCTTATTCTGCTCTGGAAAGAGCAGAATTATTTTTAAACATCAGGACCCTTTGGTATTTTCAGCACAAACCTGCTCCTCACCAATCAGGTGACTGCCAGGGACACAAGCCCTCAAAGTCACAAGGTAAACAAAAACCCATCTGACTCTTATCCATCGTATCAACAGTGAGAGAGAAATTTTGCAATCATTTCTTTGCTGGAAGGCAGATGTTAGCACTGAAACAATTCCCAAGGTCCACAGCCTACAGCATGTAGCCTGACACGTTGCTGTCTAGAAACAAAGTTGATGGAAATCAAGGAGCTTACTCTTGACAGGCTAAACTCTGCAACCTCTGCTCCTGGGGCAGCCATGGAACACAGACACACTTAACCATGCATTTCCAAAAAATGTCAGTCCAGCTGACTGTGTGCACACTTAGGGCCTTTTCCTGATGGAGATGAGATGTGGAAGACCCATATGTTACAGGTCTCCTCTGTTACCTAAATTAGCACTGAAGCACATGACAAACCCGTTACTTAGAGCTGTTTTAAACAGACAGGACTGGGTTCAGCTCAGTGCCAAGGAGTGTCTTCAGAGCAGAGTACACACAGCTTTGTTGCATCAGGAATGCACCACAGTCTGTCCAGAGGCATAAACTGTATTTATTTAATTGAATCAACTAATATAAGTACTCTAGAGATGAAGTCTGTGTTACATCCAACTTTCAGAGTTTTAATGGCTCCAGCATGCTAAAGAAAGAAAGAAAGAAAAAAAAAGGCTGCCTGCCAAGGCATTTGCACAGAATGACTGTGGAAGCATTTGACAGCTTGTGGTTGCCACAAAATAAAATATTTGACTAATACAAGTTTAAAATACAAAAAATTACTCATTATCATATGTCTGTTTTTACACAATTTTGAAGGCAATAACAACATGTTCTGGTTTTAGTGCCTTAAAAATTTTACTCTGCTGCAGCACAGTAAGCTACAAATCATTCAGATCGCTGATTAACTACTTCTGCATGGAGATCTGCTGCTATCCTTAAGTTAAATTTTGAAATCACTGGATACCTTACTGAACTACAACTTCCTGTATCATTAACATCTGTCTGTGTAAACAGCGGCTCTCCCCAGCTAACCAGCCTTCTCCTATTTCCTTCAGATTTATCATGGAAAACAGTGTTGGTAAAGTCTAATTATTTCCATGTTGACGTTTGAACAAATGTTCAAATAAAAAAATAAGTAAACAAACAAGCAAAAAATCAATCTTTCAAACCAAGAGCACTCACTTTTTTGATGGAGAACATGGCAGAATTGCTATATCACTTTATAGCTGACTTGTGGACAGAGTAAGGAATGCTGACATGCTGAAATAGTGACCCTCCCTTGTATCAGTACAGCTACTGTATCTGCGTATTTTCTCCACATTTCAGAATGCCTATTAAAATGTTGACAAAATGCTGGGAAAATTTACACACTAATCTTGGTTTCATTTCTTCTCTCAGTACCATTTTAGAATCAATTAAAAACTGGTTTCTACTGACAGCATAAGTAATAGGTAGGACTACCAGTTGTCTTTTCCACCACTCCCCTGCCCTCCCCCCCAAACATTCCAAGTACAACTGGGCATGTTTTCTGTTGAGTCCCTGCAAATTTACTTTCACTCCACAGAACACTGAAATGCCTCAATAGTATAATAAATGTTCTCTCAATTTTCATTTGCAAGAATTTGCTATTTATCTTATATTTGCTTATTTACTTTTCTTTTAACTAGACATCCAAAATTCTTTTCAGAAACCTAACCACCCCTCATGGATACTCTGTCCAGTTCTGACCTTTATTTTACACATAAGCATTCTCTCCAATAAGCCAAATAATCATTAAAGAGCATGGGCATACTTCATCAAAATAAGCAATATAAAAATTGCTTAATATAAAATATTGCAATATAAAAATAAGCAATAAGCATTTTCAGAATTGATTTCCATTCTATCCCTTCTGCTGATGTAAGCTCATGATTATGGCCAGAAAGATACTACTTTTTAAAATAAATTAATCTTCGACAACACCAAAAAACCAGCAGGAGTCAACCAAGAATGTGTCCTTGTGGCAGATCAGATATTCCATAGTATCTCTATCCTTCCTGCAAGTACTTTTATCCCTTTTGTTCTCTATGTAATACAGCATATCAACTATTTAATTAAAGCACAAATGAGATTTAATCAAACCACTAAAAGCAGATATTAAATCAGTTTAAAATATGTACTTTAATTATGCAGATTTCTTTAACCAACTGATTTTAAGGCAAGCAGTGGCATAGAACTGTTATGCCTTTTGCTCACTGCCATTATTAGAATTCCAATTCCTAATTTGGAGCAGTAACTTATCAAAAAAGTGCCATACACACTCCTGACGAAGCAACAGGAAAAATGCCACTTTATAAACACAGTTCAGTAAATATATGCTCTGCATTCATCATGAAATTCTGGATACAATTACTGTTAATACAGTAATTCTTACCTGTTTTGATGTAAATGTCGTCTTGTATCCTCTGCTCTCTGAAATTCTCTGACGGATACAGGTTTTACCGGTGAGCTCTAAGCAGAAAACCACAAAAGACTGTACATTAATGCCAAACAGTCTCTTTGCAGAGCTACATCTGTAATACTGGTATTTAAAACATCTGAGAAGCACAAACTACAAGTTAGGGATGTAAATTTTCAACCAAGCAAGCTCACTCTTATTTTTTTATCACATTTAAATCAATAATAGTTTCAAGATTAAATATGCCTGCTGATAACTTCAGGAGTTTCAAACCTCCAGTATTAAGAATCATATAGACAAGTTCATGTAGGTATGAAGTTTGTACTGAAATGTAAATACATTCTTTGGAGTTTAACTCTACAAGTGTACAGCAGTGAAGACTGGATTCTTAGAAAAAGAGAACAAAGGAGCTGATGGTCTTTTATGATATTCTAAAGACAGGTCCCAGAAGACCTAAGAAAGCAAAACACGGGATTAATAACAAGACTTTAGGTTTAATTTTAGCAATGAAATAATTTATCCTATTGGGATCAGAGACATTTTGACTTTGGTGTTATTCAAAAACTTCCACTTACACCCATTAATGCAAGAAAATAGAAACTTGTCAAGATCAACCTGCTAATTTTCACTCATGCCTGCATGCATGCTGCTATATTGCAGTCAACCTTCTTAAGTAGTAGAGTATTTTGGACTTTTTAGAGAAGCTACTCATTCAGCTAAATGCAGTTGAATTGTTAAGACTAGACAGACCCCAAGAAATAGCTGTTGTGAGCTGACTTTTCCCTTCCTACAGCAAGGAGTCCTTAGGTTGCATTGCCTACAACTGAATTTTCTGAGTTTTGCTCTAGTGTCTGTGCTTCAGTTTCTGTGATCTGATATTGAATTTGTGAGCTTTGCAAAATGAATGCATCTCTCATATCTGTGTGACTGATTTTAAACACAGTACTATGAAGCTGACAAGATAGGGACCAAGCTCCTACATAAAAGCTAAAGATCCACCTCTTTTTTTTTTGCCTTTCTTCAAATAGCAAATATCTTTCTGCTTCAAAACACGCGGAGCTTTTAAAGGACACATCTGAATCACAGCACCATAGTTACTGTTTAAGCAGAGGAGCCACAGAGATTTTTTTCAGACAAGTTATTCATGTAGCCTGTACAGTGAGCCACTGAATTGTGTAACTGTGTACATAGGTATTAATTAAGACTGACAGAACACACAAGAAAACATGATGTTGCTAAAACTCTGCTTCTGTAGGTTCAGTTTCTGAGGACTCTCTCCAGAAGTTTAACATCCAAATGACTTAACTGGAGAGAGTTTTCACAAGGCTTTGCTGGGGTGTGTGAAGTGAAGAAATGCAGTAAAAGCACCACCTCATTGGAGATCCGCCGCTGGTCTATGTATGCCATGAACTGGGAGCTGAGGCTGTCTGACTCCAGGCACTTGGGCTGCCTCACCTCTTCCTCCTCCTCCTCTGTGGCACAGCTGTCAATGTAGTCGATCTGATCGAGATCATGTTCCACTTGACAAACATACACAGAAAACACACACAATTAGGTAAGCCACGAGAGAGGAAAAAACCCAACAATGCAGCAAGGTCAGGAACTAAGGCCCTGCTTTTTCTGCCATCTGGGAAAGCTCAGCCTGAAAGCTCTTGGATTTTGCCAGGCCCACTAACATTAGATAAACAAATTTTGAAATAATGATAAAATTTATGCCTTTTAAAAAGCAACAAGGAAGCAGTTTTATACTGCTGGTTACAGATACTTTTGCAGTGACTGAAAAAAATACTGTGATTTCCTTTTCAAAAACTATGTATCAAAATCTTTCAGCTTTTATCAAGACTGTGTAATGACCTGTGTACAGTTTGGGATAATTTCTCTTGATACTCTGTCAGAAAAATCAGAACGGATAGATCCTTCTACTAATATTACTACTACAACAAAATAGAGCAGCATGTCTAAGTTATCTGAGTGCAAATACAATAAATATGAGACGTGTATGTGGAAATAATGAACAACACTGTGAACAACACAGAAAACAACAAAATCCCTGTAAAACAATATAAGGCACCTGCAATTTTATTTTAAAAGAAGAATGAAAAAATAAATTAGGAATCACTGAAATGAGAGCAAGAAACAGCACGATTTGGCTGGTATTGATTTTCCTTTGTGTGGGAGATATTATGTAGGGCAATTTTTTCACTTGTCACTGCTTTTCCACATTCTGCCCAGAGATTCTGAGAGTCATGACATTGAGCAAATGCCTCTGGTGAAAAATACTGCACTGGGGATGCAGGGGAAAGCGTAAGTTCCCTTTCAGTGCACTAGAGCTTTCTTTTATTCTTAAAACTCTCCCCAAACTTGCTCCAGACTCTTCCAGACATTCTTCTTCACTCCCCCGCCCCTTTCCTGCTTGTCTGAAACAGACTTCTCTTTGCCTCACCACACAATCTAGCAACTGTTACTGCCAAAGCCACCCCCTCTGCTACTACAACCATCCAAAACTACATTCCTGTACACTGTAGCTTCATTAAATCTCCATCTCAGTTTCAAATCTTAAAAAAAACCCAAACTCTCCTTCTTTCCAGGCTTGCTTATTAAAAAATGATGATAATAATAACAATAGTAATACAGAAAAAGGTGAAAGACATTAGTATTTGTCTTAGGAACACAAAACTGCAAATCATCTGGATCTCTGATAGCCACATGCTATGGTTTGTGCCCCTCTCAGACAGACCTACATCATGCTCCAGCTTAAAAGTCTGCTAGGCATTTTGAAATCCCTGGTGTCCAAAACCCAAAGAACAAAATAAAGTCAGTCTTGGAGGCAGAGCTGGCAGCACTATCTGTTATTAAGGCTGCCCAGAGCTCTCCATGACACCAAGTCTTCAATTCCTTTAACTGCCAGAATTTAACTGTTTGAACTGAATTTTTTCCCCATTAATTTGTGAAAGAGCGTGAGACAACTAAAGAGTTTCAGGTATTTCTAGAAGGTGTCAGAGAAAACAAAAAATTGTGGCACATAAGACTAAGACCAAGAAGATGGCAAAAGATAAAGATGGGGAGGAGGAGGGAAGAGAGAAGAAAAAAGTGGGAGCTGGGCACAGGAGATTAGATGTAGCTGAGAACAGCAACACTTAGAAAAAATAAACAGTAGCCATCAGGGAAAATGAAAAACAGGGAGCAGCTGAGAAAGAAGAATCAATCAAAGTATATGCAGATGAGATCAAATAAGTGGTGCAAAACAATGGAGATGAAGGAATAAGTGAAAAAACAAACCTGAAAGACTTAAAATTAAGGTATATAAACAAAAGGACACATTGGTAGAAGCAGATTACTGGAAGTTAAAAGGAAGGACGACCGAGGAGATCAAGAAACATGGAAAGCACGATCACCTCTTGAACAACTTTGAAGGTGATCCTTATGACTGCAGGACACCAATTGAGAGAGTTCAACAAAGCACTGCCACTCACAAAAACCAGCCCTCCTGGATGATAAATTTGGATTAAAATCCCAGACTGGAATGAGACACTTGTACTAGTCAGAAATATAAAATTCCCTGACAAAACCGCTCATCCTGTTCTGACAGCAGTCAGCACAGAGCACTGACAATTTACTACAGCAGTAAATTTTCCCCAGAAGCTCAAACAGCAAAACTCCATGCACTGAAATTCAATATTCCAAAATACCATTTGACACAGTTGGAGACTTTAACATAGGGTACAGGCAAAAGCTGACAAAGTTTTCAAGAAAATACCAATTCTGCTATTTGATTTTGCCTTTAACCTCTTTAAAACAACAGTAGTTTTACAGTTTCCACAATATTGTTTTTGTGTAATTCCACCTAGCCGTTGTGGGCTTCTTTCCTCTTTAAACAAGCTAGTATCTATAGGAAACATTCTGGAACTTTTATAATGATGATAATAAATACTGTTAGCCAAAGGTCACTACTTACCTCCACCATTAGTTACAACTGCACCCCCTCTGTTTTCTTGGTACTGACTTTCTCTCCTCAGTCTCTGCTCTTTGGTGATCTCTGCCACACGCAATGGGAGATCTGAGAACTCATCTGTTGGCTTTGGAAAACAAACAGTGAAGTCTGGAAACATTTTTCTTCAGAAACATAATTTTGTAATCTATTACTTCTTGATTTGTACTTCAATTGCCCTGTTTTACAACCACAAAACACTAATGGAAAGCAAAATACAGGTATAATGTATTGTTTTTAAAAAAAACACATAGTTGAGCTTTGTTTAGAAACCAGCTACCTACAGTTTGAATGCAGTAACTGCACATGATTGAAAATGTCCCAGGACAGAAAATCCTAGCACCTTCTCTAAAATCAAATTAAGAGTGCAAGTATGAAGTACAGCTCACTGTGATACTTTAGGTCTTGGCTATTTTCTAGTTGCCCCAAGAGGAAAAGGGAACTTCTTCCTGGCAATAATAATTGACAATCTTTTTGCTAAAAGATCCTATTTTCCTGCTTCTAAATAGCAAACAGATTTTAACATTTTACACAAAGAAGACAAAATTTCCAGCTGATTTCCAAAGCTGAATTTTCATGTTCAGATTTATTTTATGGAAACAACTTTTCATGAATAATTACTGTCGACTCAGCATTGTAATACGGTACTGTTACAAAGTTTTTAAAATGAGGAACCCTATTCTTCTCATTTTCTGTGCTCCAGTAAATTAATCTCTCATTTTTATAAATAATCTCTCTGTTTTATAAATTTTTGTTAATACTTCCAACTTGGGGTCTGTCCCATATAAAATTAACCTTGTTTTTTCTCCAATAAAACAAGTAATACTGGCTCAAGGCAACCTGCACACCAGCACATGCATGTTACCTATGGAATGTGCTTCCAGGTGCATACATTTAGTTCTCTTTCTATACAATACTGCACTCAACAAAAATAAAGCTGCAACACTTACTTCATTCCCTGACCACCTTTTGTCTCCGCTGTCCACGCTATTGAACCCAGAATCGAGTGCACCATATGGACGACTGGAATAGAGTTCCTCGTGGCTGTCAAACACACAGTTTCAGTTACTGTGATAGAAACACCACCAAAAGATTCTCAGCTACTACAGAACAAAAGCAGAATAAGCTACCAAGCACACTTGCAGAGTGTTCAGCATGTCTGAAAACCTCACACTGCTACAATATTGGCTCCAACAGAGCAGGAGGCATATGCTGACAGCTCACCAGCCTTGTCAGTCAGCTGTCACCTGCCACTGGCCTTCACAGCTAAGCTGATTCAAAGGATAGATCCACTCTTCAAACATTTCCCTAAGAGAAATTATGACAAAGCAAACTGCAAAGTGGTCTCGTGTTTCTCTGTTTAGCAAGTCAAACTTTCATTTTCTACTACTCACATGTTTCGGTTGAAAAACACCGTCAACAAACTTTTACGTAAATAAGCATAAATGTATATAAAAACATTAAAAATAAAGAATATACCATTTCTACTCAAAACTATGCAGCATGTATTACATCAATGTCTTCTGTGTCATAATTACACAAGAAACTGCAGTAAGCTGAACAGTATTTTAGATAATATAGTAACTGTAGAAGTACAGTTTTCATTTAGAGAGCTTTGTCAATGACATGTCTAGACAAAGGCATTAGACATGAGCCCAGTGTTACAACACATATAACCAAACAGCCATACAGTTCTTTAAATTTCTAGGCTTAGAAACTATGTAATTCAGCAGTATAGCCATCACAGATGTCAACTCTGGCAACTGCTGCAGATAGCTACAGTAAAAGAGACAATGGGACTTGTCTGATCCACTGCAGATGGCATTTCACAATGGCTGAACTGTCCTACTGGTACTCGATGCCCCAGGGAGAACTGCAGCAGTAATTACTACATAATGCACAAGGAAGAATGAATTTCAGAAAGCTAATTGCTTCACCCCATCGTAACTAAATTGCAGGTCATTTTCTCACTGACATTGCTCTCAAGTTGCTGCTCTCTCTGAAATTCCACTTTCAGGAAACACTTATTTTCAAATTATTACTATTATTATTATTATTATTATCATCATCATAGAAAACTGACAGACTACTATCAAGTCTATTTTAGTTTTCAGGTAGACATGAAATAGCAAAGAAGTACCAGGAGGGATGGAGGCTACAGATGAGAAACATTAAGCTGTGCATCTGTTTCTATGCAGACATAGACTAAAAGACAAGCTCTTGCATCTGCATGGAGTTTTGATTAACTCAGAGGAGTTCCACTTTTACAGCCCTGTATTTGAACAGAAAGATCATCTGCATAATAAACCTCCCTTCTTCTGGGTGGGAAGAAAAAAGAACGACCATGAAGTCACCCAATGTAGTTAAAGAAAGTTACTGATTTGAGTAACTGACAGTAGAACTATAATTTTACTAAATGTTCATAGAACTTAGATATATTTTTAAAACATGGGTCAAAGAAATATTGATTTGCAGTATAATTACATTTTAAATTAATCAATATTTTCAGCATCTCCTGAGCACCTTGTTGTAAATTGAATAATTACTACAAATTAAGGAGCTCAAAAATGAGGAAGTATTTTGATACAAATTTTCTTTTAGCCTCCCTTTTCAATTGGAGAATTTGAAAAGCTTTACATTTAACACTAAAATTAGCTGTAAGCTCAAAAATATGTCAACAATGTGCCTAGGACTTCTCCTTTTTACTGAGAAAGCTGCTTTCTGTCTTCCCGACTCTCACAACTAAACCCACCTATCCAATGCTACACACTTTACACATTTATAATCATACAGCAGCCATCCTAAAATCAGCTGAGATTAAGGTTTTTATTCCTCCCTAACCAACAAGCCACAAGGAACAACCATTAGGAATTTGGACAGATCATGGCATTCTGGGGCAGCTACAGCTTATAGGAAGCTGTGTAAGGCATGAAATCAAAGGATGAGAAGCCAAATGCCTGCTAAAACCAACAATGAATGACAGTACTTGCTGCCATTTCCAAGTCACACTAAAAGCTACATCTTTACCTCCTGTAAGCCAGAACAGTTGCCCAAGTCCCAGAATATTCATTACAATGGTTCACCTGTGAGTACTTGGTATTTTAAAGCTTCAAGTTCCAGACTATGCCAGTCTGCCAACAACTGCTACACAGCTTCCATAGATCTGCCTCCTCTCAATCTCATCCTCTCCAGCACCAACCTGAGATGCTCTGAGTTTCACTGTTGCAAATGAGACCAGCTTGTTGCAGCTGAACAGACTTGCAGCAAGATAAATTTCACATAACTTATGCTTAGAAAAGGACTGAAACATACAGTTTCTGGTTAAACAGTTTGATATAAATTTACAAGGCTAAAACAGTCAATTAGCTGTGCTAGAACCTCCAACCCACACTTACTGCCATATTTCAGAGTATCTTGTTTTATTAGAAGTATCAATAGCCTTGCTATTAAAAATGTTTGATCAAGAGTGAACTGACAGCATGACATAAACTTCCTTAAACTTCAAGAGTCTCTACCACTTAAGACTCTCAACCTGCATTACACCAAGCTGATCAGATAAACCAGCAACAAAGTCTACGTGGACTGACTGATACCTTAGTTCTATTGGTCACCTTTAAAGATTACAAACACAAAGTTCTTGTGCCTTGCCTGGAAATACTAACAGTATCACAGCTGAAGGATTTTATTTCTTTCATCCCAAATTACATAAAAATATAATAACTGGGAATTCTCTCTTCCACTGGGTCATTCTACAATTTTCTCCTAATACATGCTCTGCTTTATAGACAGTTCTTTCACACGTACATGAAGATGGAAAGAATCACCTGCAACACTAAACACCCTAAACAGCACAGTAACAACAAATAATTCTATCACTAACTCTTTTCTCCTCTTGGGTACAGAAATACAGCTACAGAAAAGCCAGCTGAAGCTCATTTCATACTGCTTAGTCTGGTAAAAACTCTAAACAAAGCATCCTCAACTAGTTCCTTCATCCTTCTGCCCTTGTTTTTACACTTCAAATTCCAAGCTATGATTAAAATATATTAATTCTTCTCATTTCATGAAAGCAATTTATGAAAATTTCCAGAGCAATATACAACTACAGACAACAATCAGTAAAAGCATACAGCTTGATTTTGAATTTCTCTTAAAAATTAACAAACTATGTTAGAGCTAAACAGATCACGGCATTTTCTCATTTAGAGCCTTTTCCTTCCAGAAAAAGGACAGTTATCTTCAGTATTATGCAGAAACCATCTGCACCACCTTGTACTGGAAATCGATTAACCCTTGACATGCTCATATGTTGACCTCATCTAGAACAGTAATTTATGACATTCAGTGCTGATGAGGAATCACTCTGTCAGTCCCTCATGCAAATTCTTCTTTCATAAATCTGACTCATGATGATTTATTGTGCAGCGCCCTGATTTGTGTTCTATTGCTGCTAAGGCAGCAGTTCAGCAACTTACTCCTCCACGTTATTACTACCTTCCAAGATGACTGAAGTAATTTTTATATATATTCAGTTTCATACTTCACTGACTCCTGTACCATGTAACAGAAATAAATCTTGACTCCTGCTTTTTGCTAGACATCTTAATTGAGTAGCTGATATGGCTGACTGTTCCAATATTTGTGTTACAATGCCAAGCAGCAGTGCCAAGTGAAAGCTTGCCAAAAATAACAGTTTACTAACAGGGTGAAGATCAGCATTTACACCTGCAGTTTGAGCACAGCCATTGTAAAATTCTGTACAAAAGGTTAAAAATCACAGCTGGGATATGATTCAGTAAGTCTGTGGAAAATTTTAAGATCCTGTAAACTAAACACACAGGTTAACGTGGGAGCATGCCCGCGTGTTGTTTATTATTACTCTCTTTTCACTGCATATCAGCTCTGACACTGCCTTTCACATCACACTGCCCAGGTCATCTCCTGAACCACTTCTCACACACTGGTACCATGCTATAATGCATCATGAAATACCATAAACAGTATTTTCAAAGCCACCTCAATGCACTTGCCAAAGAACAATCCTTGACTCTTTTTTTAATAAACTCAGGGTGGACTGACAAAATTTTCCTGAATGCTATTAAAACTGGGAATGTGGCTTGTGCAAAACTTACCATGATCCAAATCCCATGGGTCTCCTATCATAATCAGGCAAGTCTGGAGCTATCTTGCATGCTTCTATGTTCAGGTATTTAAATATATGAATTTTTCCTTTTATACATATCTGAAAAAAAATAAAAATAAAATAAGTATGATTTGACAGTGCATTTTCGAAGTCCACTACAGACATTCAAGATGCAATTGAGAATAATAATAAATGAGCACATTTACATCAACCAATGTATCTTTTATTCCAAGCTCACTGCATTTTAGAGGAACAGCTATAGTGGAGTATCATGGGATGCCTGTAATAGACAAATGGAAGCTGTCTTCCAAGTACATCTGGTCTGCAGGCTACTCTGTAAGCTGGATGCTGAAATTTCATCATGCAAACAAGACACAAGCATTTACAAGTACTAGAATTTATACCCTTGGCATCAGAACAGATGCATCCCACCCTTACCCAGATTTGAATGGCAGTGGCAGACTGCCAAAGCCAGCTCAAATTTATAGTCAATGAAGGCAGTACAGCTGTCTCTGCTTTCACAAGGAAAGCAAAACCCCACTGAAACGGCAAGTTTCATCAAGTGCCCCTCTTGACTCTGAGGCAGCAGCTCACAGTAGAACCTGTAATACTCAGAAGCTCATATACCCACATTGAAAATCAATCAGTCACTAAAAATACAGCAGTTTCTAGCTCAAAAGCCAATTTAAGTACTCTGCTGCAAAGTGGACCAGCAACCTGCACCACTGAGGCCTCAGTCAAAATTTTGACATTTGAGTGGCAGAAAATGAAGTCTTGCCTAACAGAGCTTCCTCTCTCTTATCCTGAAAGCAGAATTATTCAAGCCAACATTAACAGAATTTTTTTAATACTCCATACCAGAAACTATGAATACAGTAAAGGGATTTTTCAAGGTGTCCTGCATATTTAACACTTACAGACAACAGAATTTATTTAAAGTTCTCTTGCTTTAAATAACAAATACATAATATAATCCTTCAATTTATGACTTAGTTCTGCCCTTGCTAGCTGAACTAGTTTTCTGATTTTGTAGCTGCAGTATACCTGTGCAGGGGGGGACTGGAGAGGGTTGTTTTCTAACATGATGGTTTGAAGATGTCTGAGGTTCCTATAACAAACTGGGATTGTTGTTATTTTATTGCAGGAGAAATCTAATCGAATCAAAGGCAGCTCAGCAAGCTCTGGAGATAGAAAACAAAGATACAATTCAGAAGGTTAAAAGAGTGTGAGAAAAAACAAAAGTATAAAAATATGTGTTTCACAAAACAACTAGCTGCTTTCAGCTCTCAGAGGAAAAAAAGGGAATGAAAATAGAGAAGTTTGAAGTTTCTGCTGTTGTAACTGACAGCTGTTTTCTCACCTTCAGGTAAACGCACCAAATTATTTCTTCTGACATTTAGGTCTCGCAAGGATTCCAAATTGCCAATCTGTGGAGGTATTGTCTGTATTTCATTACAGCTCACATCCTACAAAGAAGAGCAAAGGATGAGTTACCACTGTCTGAGTGCCTGTTAATTAAAATATGCAGCTCTGTTTAGGGAGTGAAAGAAAAAGGCAGCTACTTCTCTAACACCTCAGATCCATATACTCATTCAATCTCACTGCTGATATGAAGCATTGTTCTCATTTAAACACAAGGGGAGATAAAACCTTTAAAAGATTAAGCATTCAGATTTATAGAAATTTATTTCAAGTTACTCCACAGTATTTCAGACAGCAAATATTGCTATATAAAAGCTTTCTGCCAGAAACAAATATATCAAGAACTCTAATTCCACCAGGCCTTCCTTTCTAGAATAGAGAAGGCATTTAAATTGACACGGATCATTTGCTCTCCAGTGCATCTTTCCCTCACATAAAAGTCTTTTAAAATCTGAGTATTTGAAACTCTTTTCTAACACCTTTATACAATACCAAATACGGTTAGAGAGACACTGTGGCAGAAACAGATCATCCTTAGGCCAAGAGCAGAATAATAATAGTTGGAAATCAAGCGTATACTCACAAGCTCTGTCAGCTGTCTGAGCTGTCCAATTTCTTCAGGTATTGAAACCAACTTATTATTACTTGCTATCAAAACTTTTAGTGGTAGACTACAGAGGTGTACTGGCAATGTTGAAAGCTGGTTTCGACTTTTGGACAGAAAGAAAACAAAATAATCAGAAGTCTAGTGAGAAATATTCATACAATGAAAGACACATACAAAAAGCACACTATTTAGATGATCAAATCAGTTTTCATGCAATTATTACAAAAGTAGCTCTATGAGGCTGTTCTTTATTACTTGCTTTATCTAGTCACGTGTGAACAAACTCTGAATATCAAGTATCAAGGCTGATCAGAGGCTTCTGAACTCAGTGTGGAGGAATGTTATGTTTTTGTGCCCTTTCAGGTGCCTTTGATAAGTGGCCATGCTCTGTCACAAAGGAGTATGTTTGGATCGAGTGTAAAAGCTTTCCTCATGGGTAGCACTACAGGTCAGCACACATGAAATGCCACAGAGAAAGTCATGAGACACTGAACATTTAAAGTGTATTTCTGATTAAGGATAATAATGGTACTGTACCTACTAGAGATACAGCACTAGAAAATCCATATCTGATTCACAACCTATTTGTACAATTTTCACATCAATAGAAGAGAAAATAAAGAAATATACTTTTGTCAATTTAGTGTGCTTATAACAGCAGAAAGAAATAGCCTGAGAGTTTTTAATTAGTATTTCTGCCAATTTCTGAAGAGAAACTTTCCACATCTACTAAGAGAGTCTCTACAAATGGAAGATGCTGTACACATTTGAATTTCATCAAAAGGCCAAGTTGCAGCAATTTGCTTGTAATGCTGGCCGAGAAGTTTTAATGCTTGAGAAAGCTCTTCCAAAGCCACCAGTACAGCGAAGGTAAAGGGATATTGCATAAGCCTTATTCAGCTGCTGAGAACTGCTTTGCAAAGACTATGCATAAGCTCTACCACGATATTTCACATGGAAACTACTAGAATTTATTTATTCCTTCAAGCTGGAATTAGCTTTTTTTCTTCATACTCCTCTTCTACAAGCTGCTGCTTAATCCTCATATTCCCTGATCCACCTAAGTGGGTAAGACTGGTTCAGGTTGCTTTAATCATATTATATACAACATAACAAGTTAGCATTACTTATGGATGCACCAAAATGTATAAACCTAGACTACACATGCTAAAGCAAAATTTGTAAGACAACTTTTACCTGATATTTAGAAATGTTAAAGACTGTAAGTTCAAAACAGCCTCTGGGATGTAACGAATGCAGTTCTGGTATAGATTAAGAGTCTCAAGGGAGACAAAGTGACAGGCTTCTGCTGGAAGCTCCGACAGTCTGTTCCGTGACAAGTCTGAAGGGAGGGAAAAAAAGAAAGATTCAGTAAAGCTGCCTTAGAACTTTGACTAAGTTCCTTGCTTGGCAAGGTTGTTTTGGTTAAAGAAGTTTAACCAAAATACCTACCAAACGTTTATACTTGAAGAATCAATATTTTTCCTTGGACAGTTCAAATTACCAGTCTATGGGCACAAAATATCCATGAGCATTACTCTCCTTCACAAGCTGCACTGTGATAAATAATGCTTGCAAAGGGTTCTTTTTTCCTTAAAGATCAAGGAAAGCTGCTGCTTATAAATGCCAAAGGGCAGTTCCCACAGACACACACCTACATTCCCCACTTCCTGACACTCCCAGCTCTGAGCTCTGATAGAAGCATTACCCAACCTCCAGCTATGACAAAAGCTCAGTACAGCAGGGACTATGCTGGATATAAAGTTCAGCAGGATGCACACAGGTAAGAAAGCACGAAAGTCATGGAAACTTCTAATCCACCAATACAAAAAGCTCATGGGGAACATAACAAAACCCCTTGTCTGTTCACCAACAAAATTTTTAAAAAAATAAATAAACTAAAAATTACACCCCCCCATACACAAACACGAAGTGCTTCTTTCCAGCTGGTATCAGGTTCAAACATGACCTCAGCTTCAACTTGTCTAAACTTGATTTTGAAAAAACCAACAATTTAAATGAGTACTTCCGATGGCTCTAATAGTGGGAGTTAAAACAACAAAATGATAGAAGTCAGGAATAAGTTTGCATTGCATATCTAGAATAGTTTTATTATTTTATGATAGAAAGCTGTTTGATATCTTAGCCCTACTTTTCTACTTTTTGTGACAAAGAAAACATTTTCCTCTTTTTTTCCCTTCCAACAGTGAAGAAAAACCTGAACTTACAGATTGCTAAAGACAGGTTCTATAAACATTCTGATATTACCATTTGCTAATCCAGATAAAACATCAGATAAATGCATCAGTGCAAAGAAAGATCATTGTGATGGATCTTGCTTCCTGCTACTGCCAAAGCAGAATTTTCCTACCTCTACAGCTTGTCCTGGGTGCTTTGCACTGCCAGTGTGTGAGAGAGGCTGATCAGAAACATAGTGGTTTTCTGATCACCTCTCCCACAAACCCTATGCCAGAACCAGGGACAAATGTTGGTGCAGACAGAAGACTCCCTATTTTTGGTGGCAGAGAATATTCTTGGCATTTTAAAGTACTCACTGAACTCCAGCTTAAGTGGAAGCAGCAAATTAATTGGACTGATCAGAACCTGCTTAAGAATCTATAGGTAACAAAGGAGTCAATAAAGTAATTGCATATATCCTGCAGAACACAGCATACTCTTCCAAGAATTTAAGCAGTGAATACTAATTCTGAACTAGCTATCTCCCAGAGTGCTCTAGCATGTCCTAAGGTCCCTATTGCTTTACTCCCATAGTTTAATTCTAATTAACGATTTAGTGAAAACGACAGCCACTCCAGCCCTCCCCTCCAAGCTGTGGAGCTGCAGCAGATTTAAAGCAGAGTTTTAGCTCTGTGCTACAACGTGGTGTCCAAAATTGCGACATGCCTACTGGGAGCTCTGTGTGCCAACATTGTTGTAAAATGTAACAGGAGAAGAGAGGTTTCAATCATACTGTCCCAACATAAGCCATCCTGAAACATTGCTACCAAGCGCAGCTAACCACATTGGAATTATCTGCCATCCACACAACTTGCTAAGAGGTTTCACAATACCATTGTATGTGCAAGAAAGAGAGAAGAATGCAAATTATTTTAGAGAAGACAAGAAACAAGCAAGAGTAGTTTAGAAAAAAATACTTATTTCCCACATTGACTGGATGTTTAACCACCTATTTAAAGAATTAATACAACACTGGTTTATGTTTAAGGTGTAAATTTCTGAATTCCACCACTTCTCTCACAACATATAAGCACTCCTCAGCTCACAGCTTTATCCCTCCTTCACACAGCTGTGCTGGCAAAGGCAGTTTGAATTCCACCCATTTTACCAGAGAAACGGGCTTCCCAAGTAGTGAGCCCTATTTTCTGGCAGAAAAGTGACAAAAAGTTTCTTTCTACTCTGTTTTGGAAAGGGTTTAACCACAAATATGAGAATTCTCATTTGCTTTTTGTTTCACTTTACCTTACCAAAGAACATTCAAAATCTGTTTTTTACACATTGTGCTGACCATAAGGCATGAATCAGTCAAGAACTTCACATATTCTGAACTATGATTTAGTACTGCTACAGAAATAACTCCCTGCAAAAACAACACTAGGTATGAAGAAATGAAAATACACTTTTTTAAGCAACAAATGAGCTCAGAGTGTGATAGAAGAGAGAGACACCAAAGCTGGTTAGCACCAATGAATAGGTTTTTCCAGACTTCTCTCACTCTACAGTGATTTTAAAAACTTGGCATTCTTTTTTAAAAGTAGACATTCAATGGAAAACAGATTAAATCAGCTGAATTTTGATGCGTCAGTATAATCTCTTAAATCATTCTCTTAAATCATTTACAAGTTTGGTTAATAAATCTAAAGCATTTTTACTCATGATGGCCACGAGAATGCTGTCTTATACACAGCATCTGTGATTTCATGTGCCCAAACAGGGACCCAAGAGGGAGGGTCAGCCAGGACCATAAAAACAGGCAAGCACTAGGAAAAGAACAACTAAGCGAAAACAAGAGTTGAGAATTGAGTTGAGAATTAAACAGAAGCAACATATGACAAAATACAGTGTGAATTCAGAATCTGCAAATTGAAGAACTGCTTTTCGTTATTTGCAATCCCTGCCTTGTCCCCCCCCCCCCAAAACCTTCAATAAGTATTTAAATTTCCCGAAGTCCAGAACACTGCATCCCTAAGATTCAGTGACATTTTAAAATTTTGTTCAATTTCTCCAGAATCCTCCCCATGCCAGAAAAGTAGACCTTAAATGTGACTAGAAATAGGGCAGAATACAGCAGTCACTGCATGAAACAATTCAGCAATTCCATCCTCTCTCCCATCATCTTCCTCAAAAACACCTGAATGAGAGGCACAGATACAACAAGATCAGAAGATAAGGAAAACATTCCACTGAGTGGTTATTCACATATTTGCTGCCCAGCAGCACAGCACTAGCTGGTGTTTTTTCAAAAGAGAAAGTGGAAGTGAGGTAAAGGAAAAAACTAAGGTATTTTATTTAAACTACTAATTAATACCCTGATTTAATTAAGACTTATTCAATTAAGACTTGTTTTGGTCATTTTTCTGCTAATGTGTGCATGAAAGAACTTCAACAACCAGAAAATAGAAAGGTATTACAGTACAAATTATTGAGTAAACTAAAATTTCTGTGAAGATTTCTATTTCTCAGAGAAAATAACAGATGTTGTAGTGAGATATTACTTAAATTTTCATATTTTTCAACAAGAAGTAACTGAGGCGATGCAGGTTATTTTTTTTTTAACATGGAGGTGCACACCCTTGCTGCTTCTCATATCTTAAACTGCAAAAAACAAATTACTACTTCCCCCTTAAAAGCACAAATACTGAATTTAATTATCAATAATCATGAATGAAATACAGCTGTTATAATTTGAACTAGGATTACATTTTGTGTCCACCTTTCATGGTTAAAATCACTGTCATCTGAAATATTTTTTTTTAAAAAAGGCTCTCCTAGTTTACTAAAAATGGATGTGTTTCCTTGAAGGCAAGATCATGTGGAATTTTGGCAAAGGGGAAGCATTCTTTGGAACTAAGCTCTTTGTGAAAGATAAAAAAGCCAACAGTACAGATATAAAATGAAATTTCAGAATAGAGTCAGATCACTAACCTTTTCCATCTTAATTGGTATTCTGTGGAGAAAGCCAGCAAATCCAGTGTTAAATGTGACTAGAGATACACTATGATTCAAATTCCATCATTTAGCATTAAATGCCAACTCCTCCTGTCCAAAGAAGAATGTTCCTCTAACATAAAACATTAGCAGGGCTCTGTTCACACATTTTTAACTTCAGCTGTAACACAAATCTTGTCTCCAGAGGATAATCAGTGGACGCATGAAGATGCAGTGTGCAAGGTATGGGGTACGCAGTGTTGCTGGCACTCACACCAGCTGGGTGGTGGTGAATTCCAATTCACCACGAGATGCTAATGGGATCAGTCCACTAATCCTGTTGTGATGGGAATAGGGGCTTCTGCTCTCATTCCCATTAACTACGACAAAAGCAGACAGCTCTAGACCTGGGCTTTGATACAAAATTTTGTTGATAAAAATCTACATTTTATCATCAGAGATCTGCATGTGTTCCCCACACACACTGAATTTTAATTTTTTAAATGTTAAACCAACAAAACCCAGATTTTGGCTGTCTATTTCAAACCAAATGTCTGCAACCACCACAACACCCGCTGGCAACACTGGTGTAGCCAGAGAGATTGTGACACTGTCAGCTGTGGGCTCCCACCCATGATGTAAGACGGCTCCAAAACAACCCCTTTGCAGCTGTGTGATGTCAGCCATGAACTTGCTGCAGTGATGCAACAACCTTGGTATCCGTGAATTAATCTGAATCCCAATGGTGACACTGACGGCTATAGACTGCCCTCAGCTAGAATGACTTCATTTCTGTTGCAAGTAAATGTTCTATTTTCCCAAAAACTATGAGATATGTTGTAGCTTGAAAGCACATTCATGGTTTTCCTTTAATAACAGACAAATCTAAGACATATGAGCTGGCAGCTGTCAGAGGAAAATGTATTTTTTTATGAATAATTAAAGAAGCCAATCAATGACCAGGAGGCTGACGGCCAGTATAGTGACAGAAGGCAAAAGGCAGCATGAACTGCTTTAGGAGGAGAAGGTACAGCTGTTTAAGAAAAAATACCAGAATCTGGAAATCTGTAAACAGCCTTTTTTTTATTCTTTCCCCACATAGACAACTTAAAGACCAGAATCCAACTCCACAGTTTCACACTGATAACAACAAAAACACCATCGAACCTAAGAATA